ACAAAATATATATGTGAACTTAAGGACAGATACATGATCTTTTCTATAGCTGCAGAAAAGGCATTTCATAAAGTTCAACATGTCTCTACTACCTAGTTTTATGTCAACTTGACACAGGAGTCATCTGGAAAGAGCAAACTTTGGTTGGGAAAATGCTGCCGTCTGATTTGCCTGTGGTGCATTTTCTTGATGATTGATGGTTTACTGTGGCATGGGGGAGGAGGTAGGGAGAGAGGGAGAAAGGTAGTACTGGGAACCACAAAAAGTAAGCAGAGCAAGCCATGGGGAGCAAGTCAGTAAGCAGCACTCCTCCATAGCCTCTGCATCAGCTCTTGGCCCCAGGTTCCTGTCCTGATTTCCCTTGATAATAGACTACAATTGGTAAATTGAGATAAGCCATTTACTTCCCAAGTTGATTTTGATCATGGTGCTTAATCATAGCAATGGAGACAATAGCTAACACAACCCTTTCATGATAAAAGATCTAAAGAAATTAGGAATACCTCAGAATAATAACAACTATATACAACAGACCTATGGCTAACATTATACCAAATGAAGGAAAATGAGAGCATTTCCTTTAAAATCCAGAACATGATAGGAATAACTATTCTCTCCACTCTTTGTCAGAATAGCAAGACAGGAAAAGATATAAAGGACATAAACACAGCAAAAGAAGTCCAATTATCTCCATTTGCAGATACAAACTCCACTAGAAAACTCAAGTAAACATTTTCAGTAAAGTTTTAGGATACAAAATTAACATACCAGAAAAAAAATAGTGGTCCACAATATAGACCAATAAAAATATTCTGAGGAAAAAAATAGAAACAAAATCCTATTCATAATAGCTTGAAAAAAGAATACAGGGAAAAAAACCTAACCAAGGAAGCTAAACCTCTACAATGCAAACTTCAATACACTGAACAAAGAAATTTCAGAAGATACCAGACAATGGAAAGACTTTCCATGCTCTTGGATTGACAGAATCCATGTTGTGTAGCAACTATATTACCAAAGTGATCTACAGAGCCAACATAACACCCATCAACATTCTGAAATTTTTATAGAACTGGAAAAAAACCCCAAAAGCACATATGGAAACACAAGACCACAGAAAGAACACTGCTAGAAATACCATAGTTCTTGACTTCAAATTATATTACAGAGCTCTACTAACAGAGAGACATGTAGAACAATGGAATAAAATAGGGGACACAAATAAACCAACCCAGGTATGAAAGATTGTCTTATTTACGCAGGAGGGTCAGCTGTGTATAGCAGGTGGTCCTAGGTTGTGTAATAAAGTTAACAAAGCATAGGTTTGTGAGTCAGCCAGCAAACCCACTTCATGGTGTTTGCTGCCAGTTTTTGCTCAAGTTCCTGCCCTGACTTCCCTCAATGATGTAATATGGAAGTGTAAGCCAAATGAATTCTTTGCTTTCGGTCAGAGTTTTATCACGTCAACAGAATGAAACTAGAGGTTAAGACTCTATTGGTGAAGATACCACTCGATTTGGACATAGGACATGGAGAAATCAACCTCAACTGACCAGAAAACTTTCTCAGTTGGCTACTTTCTGTAGTGCTAAGAAGCACAATATAAACTACTAGAGGAGAAAAAGACATCAATGGTCTTATCCATCATTGGATCCTACATTCCGCAATACCAATTTTTTCTTTTTCGAGACAGGGTTTCTCTGTGTCTTTGGAGGCTGTCCTAGAACTCGCTCTGTAGACCAGACTGGCCTCAAACTCAGAGATCCGCCTGCCTCTGCCTCCCAAGTGCTGGGATTAAAGGCGTGTGCCACCAACGCCCGGCTCATACCAATTTTCTTGACATGATGTGCCCAGTGGTGCAATAGTGGCATGATGGTTAAATAGGTAAACAATTCCTTTCTGATACTGTAAATCTTGTCAAAAGCTAATGACTGGGGAGATCATGTACCTTAGAGGGGAACCTATTATTTTGCTAATAAAAGGCATGTTACCAAACTGCCTTTTGAATACTTGAGTTTGTGTTGCTCTTAACTTAGAAGCTTCTTTTTGCAGTGGCTAGTAGCAATGCTGAGACTCATAACTTATCAGAATTCTGAGTGTAAGTTAGCTGTGAGTGCTCTGATGTAGACAAATGTGTATCAGCTTCAAACCCATCAAAGTCTCAGGAAACATCACAGAAGAGGGACTGGAAAGGACGCAAAAGCTGGCAGATTGGGAGAAGAGTTGTAACATGCTGACTTCTAGCTATAACGTGACTGTCACACACATCAACTCACAGTAGCAGTGGTTATTTGTGGAAGACTATGCACAAGATCAAGCCAATCAAAATTCCACATGGTTGGGGTGGGGCTCCTAAGGCTCCACCCTAGCAGAGGGGTTGTTAGCTGCAGAGGGAGGGTTAAGTGGTCTATAGACAGTGGGAAGCCCCATATTGGGCATATGGGTAGAACTAATGACATTTGGAGTCATTCGAAACCAAAGGTGAAATAAAGAAGACATGAAAATGGGAGAATATGAGGCAGGGGCAATAAGGGGAATTGGAAGGGAGGTAGGGGTGGATGAATACGATCTCATTATGTTGTGTATGTAGCTGGAGAAATGACTCAGCAGTTAAGAGCACTTGCTACTTTTGCAGAGGGACTTTGATCACAAGAACATGGTGGTGGTCAACCATCTGTAATTCCAGTTTCAGGGAATCTGACACCATCTTATGGTCATCTCAGAGTACCAGTCATACTTGTACACATGAAGTTAATATTACAAAATAAAAATCAGTTAAGCAAAAATAACAAAAACTATAATTTGGGGAAAGCTGAAAAGTGCTGTCTGTGGACACCTAGAGAAGGAACAGAACCACCCATCACAGAATGGCAGGGAAGGATGTTTATAGAGTTCAGGTAAGTATCAACAAATCAGACTTGTTACGTTTCATGTCTCATATCTCTACCCAGCTCTAACTTTCTCATCTATCCCACTGTTGTTTAACTTGTAAGGCTACTATGGCAGGCCAGCTTGGCCTTGCTCTGTTCTTACCCTACATTATCTTTTCCCCCTCCCTTGAGATTTAGTTTTATGATCATTGGTGTTTTGTCTGCATGTATGTCTGAGTGAAGGTGCCAGATCCCCTGGAGTTACAGACAGCTGTGAGCTGCCCTGTGGATGCTGGGAATTGAAACTGGGTCCTCTAGAAAAGCAGTCAGTGCTCTTGTCATTCCATCCCTCCTGCCCGAAGTTACTTCTTGATTGACAGCTAACATTATGGCCTTAATATTTGGCTCAGGAGTTATGGTTTCTATACTGTTTTGAAATAAAACAGCTATGAAGATAGTACCATTCTTTCAGAGTCCCCAGTTCTTTCAGGGATGGTTCTGCCCTGAATTTTTATTTTGGTTGTGAGCCTAGCCTTTAATGGCTGAGCCATCTCTCCAGCCCGTCCTTAATTTTTAAAGTGTTTTTCTTTTTTAAAAGATTGATTGGCCGGGCGGTGGTGGCGCACGCATTTAATCCCAGCACTCATGAGGCAGAGGCAGGCGGATCTCTGTGAGTTCGAGGTCAGCCCAGTCTGGTCTACAGAGCCAGTTCCAGGACAACCTCCAAAGCAACACAGAGAAACCCTGTCTTGAAAAAAACAAAAAAAAGATTGATTGATTGATCCATTCATGTTCTGCCTACATGTATCCCTGCATGCCAGAAGAGGGCAGAGATGGTTGTGAGCCACCATGTGGTTGCTGGCAATTGAATTCCGGTTGTAAGAGCAGTCAGTGCTCTTAATCTCTGAGTCATCCCTTCAGCCCTCCTGACAGCATTCTTTTAAGTCTGCATATTGACATGACTTAAGTATTCTGACTTCCATTCTATGGGCTTAATGTCACTCTAGAGGCTTTTTCTGGGGGAGTCTCAGAAGTTTTTCTGAACTGAGAACTGAGTTAGTGTATATTAGACAGTGTAAAAATAGGTGGCCTTTGGAGACTTTATTTTTTTTACACAGAGTCTGAAGAAACACTGGGATTGCTATTTGCATTGATTCGGAAAGTCAAACTACAAGTTGGGAAAGGTTCATTCAGTGTTGAAGGCTTTTCCTGACTGGAGAATAACACAGAAATGGTTGCTTAGCTTTGGTTAAGGTTACTAGATCCTGTATCCCATTTTCTAATAATGATTAGTGCCAAGAAAAACTTCACTTGTGCAGAATGTTGAAGACAAAAATAACTACAACATTAAAACCAGATTTCTGTAGAATTATTTGAATCACTTCAACATGGGCTAAATTAAGTGTAAACATATGAAGTGTTAAAAATTAAAAGAACTATTCAAATAGTTAAGAAATAATCTTGAGGAAAGGGCCTCTTGCAGAAAATGTCTTTCAATTCTAACTTCAACTTAAACAGTGAAAACATGAGCTATCTTTTTGTTAGTAAACACAGAGTAAACATGATATAGATAATTGAAACTAAAGGAGCTCACCATAATGCAATATCATAAATTATATGACTAAAGCATCAAGAATTATCAAATAATGACTGGCTAATGCAAGAAAAAATTTCTTCTTTTTACGTCCAATAAAATGATAAAACATCATAAACAGTGTATTGAAAACAGAAGCGGCCGGGCGTTGGTGGCTCACGCCTTTAATCCCAGCACTCGGGAGGCAGAGGCAGGCGGATCTCTCTGAGTTCGAGGCCAGCCTGGTCTCCAGAGTGAGTTCCAGGACAGCCTCCAAAACAATACAGAGAAACCCTGTCTCGAAAAATCAAAAAAACAGAAGCAAACCCTGATTTTTGCCATTGCTGGTTAATGCTGATAATAGTGAATGTTGAAACAAGCCCCTTTATAACTGCACAGAATATTGATTTTTTCAGATATTAAAAATTAATCTCCCATTGTCATATGTGATACAATTACACATTTTATACAAGTTATCTCATATACCGAAATTATATGCATTTAAAATTACTAAACACTAAAGAAACACGCAGGTGTAAAAAATACATAGGCAAAAATACTTGTGAAAACTTAAATCACATTTATTTCAATATGAAGAGACTTATTCTTAATGCCTTGTTTGAAAAGGGTCCTGTTGCCATGGAGCTGGAAAAAAAAAAAACACAACGATTTGAGGTATATTAATGATACAAGACTAATGCTAAATAGTAATATAGTAGAAAGAGTCTGAGATTAAGGTTGAGGTCAAATTGTATATCTGTCATTTGTCAGCCATAGGTTCTTGAGGAAATTAAGTTTCTCTGGGTGATAGTTTCCTAATCTGTATCTTGGGTATTCGTGAGAACTAAACATAATCAAGGATATGATTGTGTTTTCTAATACCTTCATATAACTTCATATAACTTGTTTGGCATACAAGTTTCAAGTGTTTTCCTTTAGTTCCATTTTCTGGTGTAAAACACAAGCATTCTAAGCAACAGAGGCTTTAAAAGGATTTTTACATCTTTTAAGTATGCACGTACTATAACAGAAGACTTCTGTAGACTGTTTACACCACTGAGAACTTTAAAGAGTAATTTCTTAATATTTTTTTTCTTTTCCATTAGACCAAGGAAGCAATAAATAAAATTTCTGAGTCACAGCTGGGCTTGATCTTTTCTTAATTCACAAACAGTTTAACTATTAGTGACATAAGAATTCCTAAACCATGAATACTTTTGTGAAAATTACAATCAAGATTCTGCATTTCAGAAATTGAACTTCCATAATTTTTTTTGAGACAGGATTTTTCTATGTAGCCCTTGCTGTCTGTCCTGAAACTCATGCTGAAAACTAGGCTGGCCTCAAACTCAGAGATCTGCCTGCCTCTGGCCCCTGAGTGCTGGAAGTGTCTAAATTATAAATCTGCCACATCTGTTTAGTGTTTACCCAACAGCAGCAGCAGCAACCAGAAAGAGAAAAGCACTGCTGCACTTCCTCCCCTCTAGGCTTGTGTTTCTCAGGCTAAAGGACATTATCTATCTCTGACAGGAGACTATTTGGGTGTTTTTGTATAACTAATTTCAGCCGAGTAATTAGTAGACCAGCAATTCTATCTCTGCTTCCCGCCCATAGACATGGTGACCAGCTTGCCTCATGCCACTGCTGCCAGGCCTTCATTTTCTAAGGGACTGCATTCTATGAACCGTGAGACAAACTAGACTCTTCATTCCAACTCGATTTAATCTGACATTTTACAAACAGGTGCTTTATAGAGAAGACAATCTAAGTTCAAGAGGCAAAAGACCACATTCTTTTTAAACTAATACCTTCCAATTAATAACATTCACTTATATGAAGGTATTAGAAAACAGAGAAGGTTGCTTAAAATAATTGATGTTTTTCCCTTTTTCATCTTGTTTTTACTTTTTTTACATTTATCAAAATGAAGCTTCACAATATGAAATCCAGATTATGTAGAAAAAGACTTTTCGCATAGCCTATTAAAATGATTAAAATGTTGGAATATTTCAGAATTTCTGCTGATTAATTTATTCACATATGTGGTTTGTTTTAAAAAACTGTCAAGTATGCCGGATGTTGGTGTGGCGCATGCCTTTAGTCACAACACTTGGGAGGCAGTGGTCTACAGATTGAGCGCCAGGATAGGCTCCAAAGCTACACAGAGAAACCCTGTCTCAAAAAACCAAACCAAACAAACAAACAAAAAAACCCCAAAAACCAACAACAAAAAACCTGTCATGCTGTCATGTCCAGTTGTGTAGCTTTTGTCGGGCCCCTAGCAGTGGGTCCAGGACCTGTCCCTGATGAATGAGCAAGCTCTTTGGAACCTATTCCCTAGGGTGGGATGACTTTTCAGCTTTGATGAAAGGGGGAGGAGCTTGGTCCTGCCTCAACTTGACTCCCATGGGAGGCCTTACCCCTTCTGAATGGAGTGGATGGGGGGGAGATAGAAAGGAGGTATGGGGGGGGGGACAGAAAGAGAGGAGGAAGGGGAAACTGCGGTTGTATGTAAAATAAAAAATGGTGAATAAAAAAACTGTCATGTCATTAAAACTGTTTTCTGTTTTCTGACTAGATTTACAACTTACAACAAAATTCAACTCTGCTAAATATATGAACAATTCTACACATCTACAAGGAAAACTGTTGTATGTATCATCACTCGTGACGTCCTTTACCTAACTGTAAAGCCTAAAGCAAAAAGGAACCAAACACTGAACTTTTCAACTCACCGTAAGTCCAAGGAGCTTGTGGAAGCACCCCTGGGTTAGGAGGATAAGGATAGGCAGCTTGTGGTACCAGCTGATGAGGTGCAAACTGCGAATAAGCTGGTTGTTGGTAACTGTAAGAAACAGGCAAAGGAGATGGAGAAAAGCCATTTCCTGGGATAAAGGCATTTGCTTGTGGCTGTCTAGCAAAGTAGCTAAACTGTTCAGAGTATGAGTGATTGAAATGTGTGTTCTGGACAGCACTTGCAACTGCAGTCATCATGGGAGGTGGAGTCTCGTATGTTGTCATCCCCTGGTATGTATGGGCAACAGCAGTGCTGCTGCTGCTGTACTGATAAAAACACCAAGCATAGTATGGATATGACGTTCCAAACGAATGCTCAGAAGAATTGTATACTGCAGTATATGTGGACTGTGGAGGTGCGTTCCAGGACGTGTCAACTTTCTGAGTCAGGACGTTAGGATTCTTTCCATTCTGTTTGGAGACAGTGTGTTGTGCTCTTTGATTCACCTCTAGGGCTGAGCTCCCATATGAGCCAAAAGGTGAGGTACTGGGATTTAGTGCATCTTTTATAGGCTGTATTTTATTTACTTGCACGACAGGAATTTTGTCCTGGATACACACAGGCTCTGGAGAGCTGGTACATGTACAATCTTTAATAGACAAATCTAAGATTTCATTGTCTTCATGTTCAAAGTCTGTGTCATTTGTTTCAAGGTTGCTATGGATGGCCCTCACAGAACAGGAAGCAGGCACTGAAGCATTAGGCACAAGAGGGTCATCATTTCTTGGCTTCATGTTTGAAGGACAGATCTGTGTGTGATCTGCAGGGGTTTCATGCAACTTCTGCAAAGGTGAGTTGTCAGGTGAGCAAGTGGCAGCTATATCCTTTTGATTGCAAGGTACTAGAGGGTGTTCTTTCTTATCTGATTGAGCAGCATTAAGATTCACATTTCCTTTCATTATGCCATTTAAACTTTCCTGCTGTTCAGGGAGATACTCTGAAGCATCAGATGAGCTATCTGTCAACTCTATTTTGCTTTCTGAATTTGGTGTGAAAGCGCCTTCTATGTTCTCAGAAGGTGAAAGCGAGCCAGGTGTTGAGTTTTGTCCTTTGACCATTTCTGGAGATGCAGAGTCTCTTGTCAGATTGTCAGATGAATTTGATCCTATTCTGTTTTCATCTTTGGGATGAGATTTTGTAGTCCTATTAGTAAAATAGAAATTCAAGCAACTTTAAAGATACAGTCATAACATTCTAACAGATAAACATTTGAATTTTTGTGGTACAAGAATTCATAGGATTAACATTTCCTTATTTCATTGGGAGTGTACAAGTAAATACTTTTCAGAGCCAGGCAGTGGTGGCGCACACCTTTAATTGTAGCACACGGGAGGCAGAGGCAGGCAGATCTCTGTGAGTTCGAGACCAGCCTGGTCTACAAGAGCTAAACAGTTTTACTCCCTTGGTTTGAATTATGTTGAAGATTATATTCTCCACATTTCAAAACATTCCCAATATTGTGCTAGACAACTGAGTGATCTGAAATTTTTTAATGAAAGATTTTAAAAGTAGGAAACTGCCACTATTCAGTTGTTCGGTAGAGTTTCTAGTTCACACACTTCTAACCCACTGACAAGCTTCATTACTCATCAGCAGCTCTCTTCACTTTTCCCATCTCTTTGGTCTAACTAGTTACTGGCCCCTACCACCCAATGCATCTCCTTTCTCTCGCTAAATATTACTTTTGCTTGTTCATCTTTTGAGAATAAGAAAAGCAGACAGCAGAATTCTTAACAATTTAATGTCCATGATGTTCTCATTTAGTCTTAACTAGGTGATCATAGCACCTAGTTAAGGTACTATGTTAAGAAAGGAAAAGTAGTACTATTTCTCCAGAGTTAAAAGGAATCCATCTTTGACCTAGAGTCTCTATTGCTTTCTAGAAAATCAAAAGGCTGTGTTTGAGCCATATAACCTTTTTTTTTTTAAAGATTTATTATGTACACAGTTTCTGCCTACACATATGTCAGCTTGCCAGAAGAGGGCACCAGATCTCACTTAGATGGTTGTGAGCCACCATGTGATTGCTGGGAATTGAACTCAGGACCTCTGGAAGAGTAAGCAGTGCTCTTAACCTCTGAGCCATCTCTACAGCCCAAGCCATATAACCTTAAAGGGCTATGTAAACTGAGTTTCTAGAGTAGGTAATTTTTCCTTATCATAGAATTACAGCTGCCTAGATGGTTTGTCCTTTCGTAGGGTATTACTTTCTATGAAGTTAGCCCTGTGTCAATCTTGTAGAAGAATTTTTTGTTGAGTTACAGTTTTAATTTCTTAAGTAGCAACATACTTAGGTAATTACACTGGTGTATGTTACCATGCAGTAGTCTGTTTTATGTCATTTTACAATAATTTAGTCACATATGCTATGAAAAGAATTCTAGAAATGTGTTATTTTTAAAGAGGGAAAAAAATCAAGGAAAAAACAAAGCTATTCTTCATTTTTATATTTTTTATTATCTTTCATTACATGGGAAAAAAACTGGAGATGGTGAGGAATTCCAATTTTTATATAGGTAAATAAGAGCTAATAGTTAACTCCAGTGGCACTACTAAGTACAAAATGATAAAAATGCGAATTTTCTATAGTCAGCTTAAAGAAACTGCCTTTGAGATACTCTATTTTACACCATTAGAACATTCTTCTATGAAATGGAATGTTTGTATTATGAACGTCTTGTAAAATAAACATCATTTATATTAGTGTCCCATTGATGTAAAATGGCAATTTCTCTTTAATCAATTTTGAAATTTAGTTTGTATGTAAAATCCACAACTCAATCACTTGTCCTGTTCTATTATGCACTTCAAGAAAATAGTTCAAGCAATGCCTGTCAATATGAATTTTTCTTTCTTTTTTTTCTTTTCTTTTTTTTTTTTTGGTTTTTCCAGACAGGGTTTCTCTGTGGCTTTGGAGGCTGTCCTGGAACTCGCTTGGTAGTCCAGGCTGGTCTCGAACTTACAGAGATCCACCTGCCTCTGCCTCCCGAGTGCTGGGATTAAAGGCGTGCGCCACCAACGCCCGGCGAATTTTTCTTTCTTGATTTAACAATTACTAAGCCCCAGCTAACATTAGTAATCTGTTCTCAGAATCTGCTTATTCTTTACATCACTGAAAACAGCCATTTTACATAGCATTTACCTCCAATACTTACAGAGTGACGTTTAAGGTAATTTAGGCATCACTTAATCTGAAACAAACTTCTATGTCTGTCACTTTTGTCCTCTAAGTTAAATGTATGGTTCGATAGTTTATAAATAACTACAAATTGTTTTTATTCTTGTTTTTTTATTATTTGCCCATTTTCCTTAGTTTTTAATGAAAAGAAGATTGATATAACTCCTACCTTGGATTCTTAGACATTGTCTTTTGTCTGTTTCTTACATCTTTCATGGTAACCTATAAAAAGCATAAAAATAAAACCCATGTTTTACATTAGTGATGACAAACTGCATTATAACATCAATCTATTCACGTATTAGAAAACCACTGGCTATAATTCATGTTTACAGAAACTGCTTTCAAAATAAATTTGCAATGTTTTTACTTAAAATTTAAAATTAATCTTGTAGTCTGTTTATAACTGTTACCTCCTTGTTTTGTGAGACAGGACTTTTTTGTTTTTAAAAATTTTCTAATTTTATGTGTATAGGTGTTTTGCCTACATGTACCTCTGTGCACCATGCATTTGCAAATATCCATCGATTTTCTAAGGAGTATCTGACAAATACAAGATGAGTGCTCTTAATTTCCAAACTCCAAAACCTTCAATTATATGGCACAATACTCTGTAAATGTTCATATCAGGAAACTTTTACTCCGTGCAGAAATTACTACATTACCTTTAGATGTTGTACATGAAACATAAAATGAAATTCATGCTTAGACTTTGGTCCTACTGTCAAGATATCTGACCACACACACACACACACACACACACACACACACACACACACACACACACACACACACACACCCCAAATCTAGAAAATGCCAAAATCTGAAGCACTTTTGGGTTAGCATTACCACCAGCCTGCATTTTCCTTTCTTATGCTATAAAACAGCACCATTTTCTAATCTTGACTGATTTGCCATCTCTAACTACATTCAGAATTTCATTACCTTTTAAATCACCAACAAAAAAGCAAACCAAACCCTAAAAATGAACATATTTCATTGACATTATACTTTAATATATAAGGATAAAGTTCTAATTCCTTAGGCCTGTATGTAAGATCTGGAACAACCTTCCCCACTTCTCCTGTGTACATGTGTAACAACCTCCTTTAATCCTGCTCTCATTCTTCTTGGCCACCAATTAAAATGGGCTGGAAGCACAGATATATGGGTATAGTACTTGCCTACCTTATGCAGAGTTTGGGTTCAAACATCAATCCTATAAAAATGAATAAATACCTGGCCCCCTTATCTTTTAATAAGTCAACCACAGGGCATATATCCTATGGTTTTTGTGAATTTCTCATTGTTTTATATATCATATAAATGTTGATAAAATGTCATGAGACTTTTCTAAGTCTCTGACAATCACATACTAAAAATATCTGCCGTGTGGTGGTGGCAAACACCTTTAGGCAGATGTCTGTGAGTTTGAGGCCAGTTTGATCTACAAAGCAAGTGCCAGGAGAGCCAGGGCTATACAGAGAAACCCTGTACCAAAAAACCACTTCTGCCCTACATTCTTCTGATAAGTGAAGCAGGTAGGTTTCTATAGCCAGTTTTTAATGTTCACAACATTGGCTAAAGAAACCAGTCAATAAGTAACTGGTCACTGATAAAACTTACATTTACAATAATGAACTTGCCCTGTATTAGACTTTAGAATTTACTCTTTAATGAAATACTTGAAAAATTATGTATCTGCAAGGTAACTCAATGAAATAATTCTGTTGAGTCATTCAACCTCAACATTTGTATTCTGTATACTTTCCTGCTTATAGTAAGCTTGTTTTCAGGAGTATTTTTCAAGTTTGATTTTAAAACATTTGTACCTTTTGCTTTTTACAATTGGAAACTGCATCAGAGACTTCACATTTGTCTGCAGTCACAGGACGTTTTTTAGAGGAACTTATTGTGCACCCTGCAGCTGAGGGTGTCTGGACAGAAATATCAGGTTGACTGCTGTTGTCTTCAGGTTCTGTAGTGGCAGTGTCCATCTTTTCTTTTCTGCTCAGTTGCAAAGTGTTCCTTCTGTTACGAAGCATTTGAAAAAAGAGGAGATCAGTGGACAATTTAGTACCTTTAGCCCTTATCATCTTCATATGTTCAATTGTCTTCAGAACTTTTATTATATGGACCATTTTCCCGAAATCTTTCTGAGGGACAGACATAATATTTTTGAGTAATTTAAAAAGCTGGTTGTAGTTATATTCCAACTCTTCCACAGTGTTTCCATAATTTACACATGCAATATGTGGTGCCAAGTCAATATATGTGGAAACTGAATACTTAGATGTATTTAGAAGCCTTTTAATTCCCAAAAGTTCCTTAAGTTCTCTGGAGAATAAACGTAGAGCATAGGAACAATTAACAGCTTCACTGTAGTCATAGAGAACACATAGCTCTTTCTTAAGGTGAGAAATAGCTGACTCTATTACTTTCCAAAGGCAATCTGTTTGGTTGTCATCAACGGAAAAGGACACCATTTCTTTTTGGCAGTTAACAAGCTCAGGAAGAAGAGACCAATCAAACCAGAGCATACCTCGAAATCTCTGATTATGTAGTTTCTTTGCTATTGAATTTTTAAGAAAATGAATGGTTTCTGAGAGCATGACAGTTTCAATATAAATTTCAATAGCTTCTGGTTTTAATATGACAGCTCCACACTTGTGGCTTAGTATATCCAAAACATTCTCCTCAGTGACAAAAATATTATCTACATTGTCTTCTTGCAGCATCTGGAAGTATTTTTTTAAAATTTTTAAGTGAACTGTACATCTCAGAGTGAGGTCCTGTAATGTCTTTAGGTCTGCAGATTTAGCTTGATCCAGTATCTCACTAATACAACATATATCTGGGTATGAAAGCCAAGCTTTGTTTAGCGTACAGTTTGGTAGGCTAACTAGAGCTGACTGTCTGGACATAATCCTATCTTCTTCAAGCCCAATAGTGGGAGTTGATTCATCGTTTAAGTCCTTAGACAAGACATCATAGATCTTCTCCCACTTAGAAATGGCACATTCATTTACTGCCTCCATTTCCCTGTTCTTTTCTGAATGTCTTTTGGGAAAAGAGTGGCTTTTCTCTTTCTGTACAAGACTTTTTGCAGCATCAAAATATATATGTTCCAGACCATAGAGACAAATTTTGATACTTACTTCTTCATTGTTCTTAACAAAACTAACCTTTGAGGAGACCACTTCTAAAATTATCCAAAAATGGTCTTCCTTTCCTGGGTAAGAATGGACTTTTGGAGAGCCTGCATGCATATTGATTAGTTTCAGAACACTTTTTCTTAAGGCTTCCAAGTCTGCTAAAGTATCACCAAAGTTAACTCCACAGGTAAACGGAACAGAAAGACAAAAGTCAAAGCAATCAGAATAGTGCCTCATTATGGCTTCACATTCTTTGATTTGCCGTTTGTATTTTAAGAAGGTATAATATGAATTATTTTCTTTTTTGGTTTTTGTTAAGAATTCAACTAGCTGATGATAATAACTTTGTAACTCACAGAATGCATTATATTTTAATCGTCTTTGAAAAGCAGGATAGAAATTGGACTGCAGCTGATATCCACGTGGCCTGGAAAGCAGCTCACTGTATAAGCTCTCATCATACCACAGTAAGCTTCGGAATGTTGCTTCACCTTCTAAGGATCTTTTTTTGTTCTCAATGAACTGAATAGTTTCCATTGCCATTTGAAGTTCTACCCAAGTATCAACAGCAGATGGTTTCAATTTAAGTCTACAATTATCCCACAAGTCCTGTTCTACCATCAGCTTTCTTGAAATCAGGATTTGGTCAAGTGAACATTCTTGCTTTCTTTCAAAAGCTTTAACAAATAAAGGGAGAAGATTTTGACAAACTTTAGCTTCTTCTTCTAAAACCTGCAAAGACACTGCTTTATCTGCTTTCTGTAAAATCTGAGACAGTTCTGTTACACGAGATTTAGCTACACGTTCTTCATTTAATCCCTGCATGTGTGTCGGAGGCTTCTTCTGAGTGGGGACTTCAGTGTTATCATGTAGAATCGGCCTATGATTAGTTCCTGCAGCAGCTGGTTTGGAGGGACAGGCAGGTGGTTGTTTCATTTGCCCCACTTTCTGTCTTTTGCTAAGCTGACTAGGAATGTTTTCCAAAGCAATCGTCTCTAGGGTAGAATTTTTAATACCTAGACAAGAATCAGTCACGTTTTTAATTATTTTCTTGTGTGAATGGAAGGATTCTTCCTTTAGGGTCTTATTTTGACATTTGTACCTAGTAACAGCAGCTGATCCTTCAGTAACCACTTTTTGGTAAACTGTTTGCTCAATTTTTCTCATGTTTTCTTCCTCAATGTATTCTGCCATATATGTTTTTGAAGGACCCTTTACATTCTCTTTTAAGAGCAGAAAAGTATCATTAGAAGATAGTTTTATACTCTTCTTACAACTTTTACTTTCTTCAGTTACTGACATTAGATATAATTTAGAATGCTTAGTAATATTCACTTCATTCTCCTTAACATGGAGTCCATTTTCTTCTCCAGCTGTCACTAGAATTGGTGACAATGGTGGTATATTTCCTGTAGGAATGCTTGGTGTGATCTCCCTAAGAACTGTACACTTTTCTACAGAAAGAATTGTGTCCCCATTTCTAACACCATCAGATACAAGGTTATCTTGTTCACAGATACCAACATTTAAAAATTGTTTCTTGTTTGAGTCTAAAACTGAATTAAGTATGTCATTGTTAGCTTTACAAGTTAAACCATAACTTTTATCTTGACTATGACTTATATTTTCTTTCATGGAACTTAAAGACACAGAATTACTTTCACATACCACTGTTTTATCTTCAGAATTATTTTCTTTTATTATATCCTTAATATTGTGTGCTGAATGGTTTCCGAGCTTTGTAGATTCACTATTAGATATCTGTGTATCAGTCTGACATTCTTTTTCAGTTAGTGTTTCATCTGGGTAAAGTGTGGGCCCCCTTGTTTCAGAAAAATGTTCAAGTTCAGAAGAGCTTGCATTTCTCACAATGCAATTAGTGCATTCTAATTGACTTATACACTGGGATGTACAGGCTAGGGGTAACTGTGATTTGTGAAGCTGTTCATCACAAAATTTTCTCACATGGAAAGTGGTAAGACTACTGGAGACATGGCCAGACATGATTCTGCTAGAAAGGCACTCTGGAAGTCTCTCTCTGTTTGTTCTGTAAGATCTGTGCTTTGATACTGGGGCCAATGATTCATCAATATCAAATCTTAATCTTTTCTCTCCCTGTTTCTCATACCTTCTTTTGGATGAAAAATGCCTAGATGATCTTCTTTCAGACATCCAGCTATCACCTTGAAGATCACAACTTTCCCAGAAATTATTGCATACTACTGAATATGCTCTTGGTAATGGACCCTTTCTCTTTTTTCCCACTTTAGATATAAGCTGCAAAGATGTATGAACTCTTCTATGAGCCTTTTTTAAGTGAAGAACAGCTTTGTCTAGTTTTCTGGACAGATGTTTGCTTTTACACAAAGATGCTTCATTATTTAGAATATTCAGTACACTCCTAATGTGCCTCTCTGACTGTGAAAATGTTTTAATTCGTCCTTGGGATAGGGAAGAAAAATGTTCAGATGAGTCATGACTCGTTGGCTTCCTCCTTTTCTCATGAGTTTCATGCTGCCTTATGTCTTTATGGGATATGTTCTGTCTCCTTGAAGATACATGTGGGCTTCTTTTGCTACTTCTTGATTCCATGTCTTTTTTATTTTCAGTGTCATTTAAGTCAAATTTTGATTTTGTGGGACAATTACTCTTTTCATTGATGACTGTGACCTTAGATGGTTCAGTAGACAAAGAGTTATTGTTTGATTTTCCAGGTATGTGATTTACACACATATTGGAAGAATGGGAGATTCCAGATTTGCTCACATGTCCTGATTCTTGCACTGAATTATGTTTATTTTCACAGGAAAAACCAGAATTTTCTTCAGAAGGTTGGGAATAAATGCTAAATCCAAAAGCTTTCTCCTCATTTGCTTCTGGTTCTGTAGATTCAGTTACACGTTTGTAAAAGTTATCTTTTGACTCTAAAGAATCATTAGTGGGACCGATCCTAAGACTAATTAAGTTTGTAATTGTAACTTGTAAATCTGGAAGAAACATTGGGTTGTGGAGCTCTCTTTTGTCTTTTTGGGACAAGAAAGAAACACAATTACATTCTGTAGAATGTGGATCAGTACTCTCCCTTTGTGCAAAATTGGAAGTTTGCATCTCTTCATTACTGTTCCCAAATAGGCCTTCCCAAGCAATCCGGGACTTCAGGGATTCATATAACTCAAATTCTTCACAAAAAACATGTCCTTGGCTATCTATATTTTGTGGAAACAAAGAAGTATCATTATAATCTTCAAGTTCTACTTCAATTTCACTTCCCAATCCAAAAGTTTGAAGAACCGAATTCTCATTTACTAATTGATAAAAATTTTGTAATCTATCTTTATCAGTATCAATCTCACAGTCAGAAACGCCATGTTTTACTAAACATAAATCTGAAATCTCAGAATCACAAGTTTCTTTAAGCTGGTATTTTTCATGATCCTCAAAATTTGTGTTTAATGTAAGAAGGGTAGTATTAACTACTTGTTTTGTAGCACTGGAAGCTACACACACTGAAGAACATTCAGTTTCTGGAAATGTGGATACAAAGGGTTCCACACTTCTTCCATCATTTGGTGTATGACTTTGTTTTAGGGAAGCCATACTACCTTCACTCTCTGATGATGTAGACTTTGCTGGTCTACCTTTCTTTCCCCAAATTGAGTCAAATGTGGAACATTCTTCAGAATTCAGAATTTGTACTTTGGTGTTACTCTTAATTTCCCTCATTTCAACTGTATTTGCATGAAAATCTTGCTTCTCACTTTCATTTGTATTATCTGTACTGTACTCTGGAGATGATGTACTATCTTTCTCTTTAGCCTCATTTGGATTTTCATTATCTCTTTCTTCTTGCAAATTAATTTTCAAGTTTACATAAGACAGGCAGTGGTCATGCACATCGTCTTTAATATGAGAAGTTTCTTTGCAGTCTTTCTGAAGGTTATACATTGATACTGTCTCATTTTTATTTTCACTCTGGATGCACATATATTCTCCAATCATGTCACAACCTGAACTGTCAAGAGATACGTCAGTGGCAGAAGATGAAATAACTCTTCCAATGAGTTGTTCTCTGGCCTGGGGAACATCTTTTGCTTCCTGGAAAGCATCAGTCACATTAATGAAGCGCTGATTATTTTGTACTGCTTTCAATTCTGTTAACCCCTGAGTCATGACAAAATTTGTTTGAATATTATCGTTGTGCTCCAAAGGGTATTGAGGATGCTTTTGTACAAGGCACCCTATATGTGGAGTAAGACTACACACTAATTCTACTGCTGCACGATCTAATTCACTTTTATCCTCTGTGGTAGATATGGAAGGTTTGGGCATTTGTAACTTATGAGTAACTGGTGTTTTTTCACAATTTCCCTTTAAAGAATTAAGATTTCCACATTCTTTGTGTTCCTGGTGCAATGTAATGCAATTATCAATTGGGCTACATATAGTTTCATCAGTACAATAATGAACAGTTTCTTTGTACCAAGTTTGGTTTACATGTTCGGAACTGTCTTCTGGGCTGATGAAAGTTCTCATCATTGCAGTATTTTTCACATATTCATCTAGGTTTCCCTTCTTCTGGATTGGGGAGACTGCAGACATCTTGTGATCAACTTTATACGCAGTGTTTAAATCAGAAGACCATGATGCTGTGGAGATGTGACTCTGATAGTCTTTACTACAAGTATTTTTTTCAGATTCAAAGGAGTTCTGTGGCTCATTACTTTGCTCTGGTAAAAGTGGAATGTTGCTGCTCTTCTGGGCCTCCTCTTCATTGTATTTTTGTTTTCCAACATTTGAAAATGCATTTGGTAAATAACAAGGGAAGGAAAACCAGCTTTGCTCTTTAAACTGCTCTGTAATGGCAATCTTACTGGATGCTGTACAGTCATAGTCCCTTGAGCCCATATTGTGAGTCTCACAGTGTGATCTTTCAGAAGAGAATTTGAAGCAAGAAACATCTGAACAATTAGTAAGAGCATGACCAGTAGGGGTAGTTTCAGGTGAAGAGACTGAGCTAGCTGGCATACATGTCAGCTTTATTTCTGAATTACCATGACCCGCACTCTTATCAAATGGCAAAACATCAGCATTATTTTGTTTCCTCATGCTCTGTTCTCTCTTCAACAGTCTTGGGTCCTTAATAAGTTTTGAAGTGATAACTGTACTTGAGCCAGTACTGCTCTGGGAGGGAAGAGCAGCAGAAATACTACTTAAAATACTTCTGAGATATGTCACACTGAACAGGTCACCATTGCCACTTGCTGTGTTAGCAGTGGGCATGAAATAAAGACCTGAATTGTGTGTGTGTACTTCAGTAGCATCCCTAACTTCTGATGAGTTATCTGTCTGTCTGCTGTACACTTCACACACAGAATTGTTTCCATTCTGCACACTTCCATAAGAACTAGAAGAATCCAAGCTGGAAGAACCAATCTCTGAAGTTAGTGCTTTGCACGGACAATTTTCTTGACTAAATGAATCAACAGGTTTCCTGAAGTGCTCGAAGATGACTGTAGCATCTTTTCCTTTTCCAATTCTTTTGGCAACTGTACAGTTATTCAAGGAACATGTTTTTTCTATGGAAACATAAATACAAAATACATCATGAGTAATTTTAACTGAGAGTTCTTTTAATAGCGCAATAGTGATCATCTGTTCTTAGCACAAAAAGCAGAGATAAGAAAATAACTAACAAGCCAATAAGGAATAAAATGTATAAAGTATAACTCTAGTCTAAGCAACTTAAAGCTGTGAGATGGTTCAGTGGATAAAAACGGTTTGCTACCAAGATTGTTAACCTGAGTTTGGACCCTGGGATTCATATAATGAAAGGAGAAAACTAAGTCTTACACATTCTTCATGTGTGTGCCTGGCACATATATGAGTACATTAACACACAAGAAATAAATATGTAATAAAAAAATTGAAGTCTGGGGAGGAGGGCTCGGGAGGAAGGGAGGGAATGGGAGAGGGACCTGGAACTGACTTGTGAAGCAACCTTGGTTCTTATCCAAATTTAAACTGGAAAATAAAATTTAAAAAAAAATGAAGTCTGGGGATACAGCTCACGGTTGGTTAATATGCTACCAATTGACATGCAGGAAGCTCTGAGATCAATTTCCAGCACTGCATAAATCCAGGTATGAGGGTGCACACCTGTAAGCCTAGCATTTGGGAGACTAAGGCAGGAAGAACAGAACTTAATGGCCATCCATCCTTGGATATTGAGTGTGAGACTGGCCTTAATTATCCTGTTGTAAAAATATAGAGAAAATATTAAATAGGAGAACACTTTTGAGATTATTCCTTATACTAAGTTCAATATTCGATTGCAGCTTTTATGCACTAGCAGGCAAAATGGTCTCTACCTGCTGTCACTTTGCTTCTTTTCCTTTTACCATGGAGGGAAAAAAAAAGACAGCAAATGACAAATCAAAAAGTAGGGGAGAGGCAGAAGAGATGGCTCATGGGGAATGGTTTGCCATCAAGTCTGATGATACTCTGAGTTGAATCCCTAGGACACAGTTGTGGAAGAAATCACCTCTTAAAAGTTGTCCTCTGACTTATAGGTGTGAGCCACACATACCAAAACACAGATGTAATAAAATATAAAAAATTTTAAAGCAGGGAGAAAAAGTTCTATAAGCTCTTTCTCTAAAGCTACAGTATAGTAAATATCCATGAAAGTTACACAGATTGAACATCCTTTATCCAAATGCTTGGGAATCAAAAGCATTTACACATAGCAACAAGACCAAAACACTTGAGAAAAAAAGTACCTCATCAATAGACTCAAATTATTTACTACTAATCCTAAAGAAGTAAATCAGATTCTAGAGGAATCCTGTATTATAAAAAACTGTATGTTAATGTATTGTGTAAGGAAAACTAAATGAACAAGTTCCTATATAAATAAAAATGTATAGAAGGTTTATTCCTTTTGTTTAATTTTTAGTGATTTTTACTCCCACATTTACCTACCTCAATCCCTTTCTACCCAACTAGCAACTGTCCTCAGATAGAGGATGTATCAGATATTAAATTGCTAAGAACAGATACTACACTTGATTTTAGCCAAAGTTTAAGAAGTAAATGTACTCTTTTGTCTTGAGAATTTTTCTTGACTCCAGATATAAAGCTATAAAGTAGGCATACAAACATTTACCAATAATAATGAATTCACTTTTAAACAGTTCTTTGACATAATTTTGCCATATATTAAATTTATATAAAAGGAAACCTGTATATACATGAGATAGAGTTGCTTATTTTTACATGAAAATTAAATGTTGGCTGATTGGTACTCTATGACAGTATTTCCATTATCTTTTAAGAGTTAATTGGCTGGGCATTGGTGGCCAGCCTTTAATCCCAGCACTCGGGAGGCAGAGGCAGGTGGATCTCTATGAGTTTGAGACTAGCCTGGTCTACAGAATCAGTGCCAGGATAGGCTCCAAAGATACACAGAGAAACCTGTTTCAAAGAGTTAATTGATAGTGTAATTTTATAATCATCAATGGTGAGAAATTTTCTCCCCATAAATGGGACTATGTTGACACCCACTTCTGAAATTATTCTATTCATTTATGGATGTCAGCAACTCCAACAGCAGTTTTTAAAATCATACATTCTAGCTTAACAGAATCCAAAGCTATACTAATCTGATACATGCTGAGGGATGACAGTAGGAAAATTGTAAAACAATGATATAATAAAATAATCATTAGACTAGTAAAATACTTTAAAAAATTATTATCAAGAATGTAGATTAAGTAACCTCGTACATCTGATAAAACCACTTTAGAAATTCATATGACATCATCTCTAGTCTAAGCTATACATTCTTAGCGTTAATGCATACTTCAAGTAAAACTAGCACAGTTGCGACAAGACATTGTTAGCAATGTGGAATAAGTTGTAAGGGTACCTAAATTTTTCCAACACAGTAGTATCATCCATAAAATTGAATGAATTGTTGTGATAGCTATCAATACAGAAAAATTACATAAACAAATACTAAGTCAAAATATGTGCATATGACCCTAGATATATATAAATGGAGAAGGCAGGTATAATACAACTGTTTTGATTAGAGATACATAATGTATCAGAATACTCAGAATAGACCAGCATAGTTGAATAATGAATGTTTCTTACCAAGCCTCTTAGGAAATCCTGTGGAGGGGAATCTCAGTGATGTCATAAGTTGTCCATTACCTGCCTTTTGACCAATAAATTTTACTGTGACTATTGCATATGGAAGACACTGTCTAGGTCTATCTACTGGTCTTGAAAAGAAATCATATTCATAGAAGTATACCTGAAAGACATAAGAAAATCAAACTATTGTAAAACCCTGGGCCCAGCTTTGCAGTAGAGTATCTAAAACGTAAGATTAATCATGAGGGGGCTGAAGAGATGACTCAGTGGTTAAGAGCACTGACTGACCTGGGTTCAATTCCCAGCACCCATATACCAGCTGACAACTGTCTGTAACTCCAGAATCTGACACCCTCACATACATACATACATGCAGACAAAACACAAATGCACATACAATAATAAAGTTTTTCAAACAAAAACAAAAATCAAACAGACTTTGAATGCCCATCCCACTGTGAGGGATGCTCTCTCAGCCTGGAATCTTGTGGCAGGGCCTAGGCCCTGCCCTGGATGAGGTGACTCTAGAGATCCACCATGGAGGGCCTCACCCTCCCTGGGGATCAGAGTGGAGACTGGGTGGGGGACTGGGGGACCTGGTGGGGAGGGTGGCAGAGGAGGGGAGGGAGAGGGAGCTGGAACTGACATGTGAAACAAGCTTGTTTCTAACTTAAATATTTATTTTCAATAAAAAGAAAAAATAAAAGAAAAAATTTTTGTTTTGGTTTTTCAAGACAGGGTTTCTCTTTATTGTTTTGGAGGTTGACTGGGAACTTGCTCTGTAGACCAGGCTGGACTGGAATTCACAGAAATCCATCCACCTGTCTCTGCCTCTAGGGGCTGGGATTAAAGGTGTGAGCCAACAACGCCCAGCTAAAAATAAAGTATTTAAAAAGTCACAAAACTAAGAAGTGCACAACACAGAACCCAGTGGGCTGCTGCTCCATTCTGGGACAGTTCAGTCCCATCTCTCTCTAGGGTGCTTGCCTTGCTTTGTTAATAAGATTTTCTTTAACTGTCTCTTAATATTTCCTTTGAGAAGACAACTCTAAGAATCCCTTGATTGCCTTTAACTCTAGTTTTATTAAGGATATACATAAAATTCCTTCTCCTCCTCACACCACATATTTTTACTTGGAAGCTACTAATACTGGCAGAAGCACAATACTGTTTTAAAGTAAGTAGTATATTCTATAAAAACGCATTGCATATGTTCTGAAACCTATTACAAATCCAACATAATAAATATTAATACTTTATATATATAAATGTATATATTTCTAATACTTATTTTCACTCATAAAATACAAAACTTAATATTCTATTACAAATTAAGCAAAATGTAATTTTAAAACTGTTCCTATACTTAATGGTTAGTTCATAAAGCTTCCCTTTGCTCCCCTTCAAATAAAGAATCAATACTATTGTTCCAAATTGTCTTAATTGATACATTATAACTGGCCATATTTATAGGGTTTAGTGTGACTTCTGTTGCTGTATGTGTGTATGTGTCTGTGTGTGTGTACAGTAACATGTACACATGGAGGACAGAGGTCAACCTTGGGTGTCAGACCCCAGTGTTCCTCTCATGAGACAGGGTGTCTTACAGTTTAGAATTCACCAAGCTGGCTGGCAAATGAGCCTTAGGGCCCTCTTTCTCTGCCTCTCTAGCCCTACGACTCCATGCCCACAACACTATAGCTCCCCCTCCCCCACACCCCCATGGGTTCTGGAGATTGAACACAAGTCAGGGAAGCACTTTATAAACTAAGCTATCTTTCCCAGGCCTCAGTGTGATGTTCTGAATATATCAGAACTGAGTTAATCAAGTTACCTTAAAGTATCTATAATCTTATCCATCATCATCCATGGTTAATGGTGAAATACTTGAAATTTACTTTCAGCAACTTTGAAATATAAATGATTGATTGTAGTTATACCACTGTGAAGCCTTGTTCAAAAGGGAAGCTGGACAGCCCATTTAGGGATTAAGTCTATGGAACCCTAGCATTAACATACCATTGAATTGTAGGCTTGTAGCTCAATGGTATCTTTCAAAGAAGGCATATTTCTTGACATATGGCAATCAAAGTTAGGAGAAGGATCCAGAGACACTTTGCTTTTATCCACAGAAGGCTGAACTTTCTTGACTTTTCCAAAGAGAACCTAGAAAGCAAAAGACAATGCCCAAATACTTTTAAGGCATCATGCTTTTAATAGTGATATATTAATAAAACTGTTAGTCCACATCATGGATAAATAGGATGTTTTAACATGACAATTATACCATTTATTTCCCATATAAGTTCTGAGATTAGAGTTGCCTCTAATAAAAATTTCAGAAAACATTCATTTACTATGAAAGTATATATGAAAGACTCTACAGAAATATTTTCTGCTTTGGGTTTTTAAGATGGTCTGACTGTAAAGCTCTAGCTAGCCTGAAATATGCTATGTAGACAATGCCGGCCTCAAACTTGTGATGACTTTCATATCTCTACCTTCCAAGTGCTAGGATGATAGGCATGGGTCCTCAGGTCCAAAATACCGTGTATAATTAAAAGTACCATTTGAACAAAGTGAGGGAGATAATTCAACAAAGAGGACAACTGGGAAAATTAAATTCCTCTTAAGATGTATAAACAAAAATAAATATTATACAAATTAAACATTCAAGTATTGAAAACAATGAGGAATATCATGGAAGAAATACAAGCAAACAAAAACAAAGCGAAAATCCTTTTGAAGAACGGTGACCAAGAACTGATGAACCAAAACCAGGCAGATTTATGATGTTTAAGGCTTCTGCATACTACAAACCAAGTAAGTATGTAATTTTAAATGGTCTAAATCATGAATGAGTGGTGAAAGGCGAGTTGGAAGTATAAGTATCACTGAAGTAGACATTTTATTTAGACTATATAATTACTTAAAAAATAAAAGATCATTTTATTGCAATGACTCAAATAAAATGTCACAAATCGATTAAAGTAGCTAGCTACTCAAATACACACTAGGCCAGTTGCGAATTCAATGCATGTCAGTCAACTTAGAGTAGCCATTTTGAAGTCATGGGACATGGCTTACATGTTCAGTCATTTAAGTTTTATGAAATCATCATACTCATACACACACACTCAAACGGAGTTGAAACTTAGGAAAACAATTAGCTTTATATCTTCTTCACATCGTGTCCTTTTATCTGCATCCTGTCCTTCCCCATCACCCAATGGTACCCATTCTCAGTGTCTTTTCTAAATATATTCTGTACTCACATTTACAGCTATTTACATACAAACATGCATACACTATAGACTAAGACACATGCATAAAAGAATTGTATTTCTCTCAATTAAAAATTATTCTAAAATAAAGATTAAAAATAAAAAACACAAATGTTAAAAACTAAGACTAAGTCTTGCTGGTTGGTAGTGGCACACGCCTTTAATCACAGCACTTGGGAGGCAGAGGCAGAGGTAGGCAGATCTCTGTGTTTGAGGTCAGTCTGGTCTACAAAGTTACACAGAGAAACCCTGTCTCCAAAAACCAAAACCAAACAAACAAAGCCAAAAAACCTAGACTAACTCTTAAGGAGATCCAAGTTCAGTTCCTAGCATCCACATGGCAGCGCACAACCACCTGTCACTCCAGTTCAAGAGGATACAATGCCCTCTTCTGGCCTCTGTGGGCAGGCACACATGTGGTGCACTTCTGTATGCAGGTGAAACAGCTATACACATAACTAAAAAAATGCTCGTCCATCTAATGATAAAATGATAATGGATACATCATAATTGAGAGAAAGGAGATATGAAAATCCTATCATATGCTACTTTACTGGTGGCTATTATGTTTTACTCTAAACAACACACACACAGAGGTTTGTGTTCTAAGGTCTTGCTCTACTCTGCTCAAAACTATCATTTTATACATGCATTGCACATTTGTCAAAAAAATGCTATTAAACTGAAATAGCTCAATAAAGCTAGCTTATGCTACAATCATGTTTTAATTGTTCAGAGGATACAAACTACTATGTTGCTATACAGTATGATAAAAAAATAAAAGGAATAATGAATCCAGAAAAAGTATGTATTATGAAGACAATGATGATGAGTGCTGCCTTTTTGTACCTAGGTTTTACTTTGTGCCAGTCTGGTTAAGAGTGAAGAGCAAGGGAAAATTCCAAAGGATGACAAAAAGTAATTATTTTATGGAATTTTATTTAAGATAACTTAAGCTGAAAGTAAATTATGTTCATGCTGACTTAAAGTAAATTGTTCCTATACTTAGTATTTGTTTTATGCTACTACCCACCTTAAAAATCATAATCGTTTCTACAGTAGTGCCCCAACTATGAGCGTAATTCAGGGCAACATCAACATGTCTAAACATATAAATTCCAAGAAGAGGATTCCCAAGTATCTTCAGTGTGGATGCTCTGGTACTTAACCCATTCTGGTAGATTTCTACCACATCACTCTGAGGAAGTGCTAAGAAGCAGAAATGTTCTTCCAGTTCTCTGCCATGTCTTCCATTCTCACGCATCTCTGACCTAAGTAAAAAACAAATGATATACACAGCTAAACTACAATTTTCAAAATGATAAGCTATTTTAGCTGCTCCAAGAAAGCAGAAAATACTGACAAAAATCAGAGGTACTAACTTACACTATGATGGTTAAGTTGGGACTGAAAGCCATCTAGAGACCAAGTTCGAGATTACATGTCCAGGATTTATGGATAGCTTAAATGGGTAACAATTCTGGTAACACTTTTAATGTAGCCAGTACAAAATCTTAAGCTTTATTACACATTTTGTATTCAAATAGCTAGCAAATTTTTATTGCCACAAACATTTAGAGAATAATGTTCAAAACGCACTGAGCTACCTTATGTTTTAGCCAAAGTAATAGTGACAGGGTTGGAATAATATAGTATTTTCTCATTTTACTGACCTCCCCATTTTATGGCAGTCTAAGATTATCTATTCAATCAAGTCTATGCAAGTTCGTTTTACTTCAAAAGCATATATTCATTTGTTTTATCTCTTCTATATTATACTAACTCAGCCAAATTGTAAACATTTAGTTGTATCTTCTATGATGATCTGTGTCTAGTGACCTACAGTATTATTTTGTAATTTTTTGGGGGGGAGGCGTCATGAAGCATACCACATAGGATGGTGTACTTGATATGTGTCATACAGATATATGTGGTGTGTGTGTTTATGTATGCACACTCTGAATATTCTGTAGATTGGCCATCCTCCCACCTCTTTCTCAGGCCTTCCTAGTCCTCAGACAAAATACTACTTGAATTAGGCCACCTCATAACCTTATAATGGCCTTTAAGGGAAGAATCACGCACTTCTCGAGGTGAAAATCTTGAAATGCTAACTTTAGCAAAGAAGGCATGCTGAAAGCTGGAAAAGGATGAATACAAGGCTTTTTGTACCAGTCAGTTGTGAAAACAAAGGAATTGGTCTTAAAGACTATTAAAACTAATAATCCAGTGAGTATTCGTCTATGTAAGTAAAATACACCTTGCTGATGAGAAATCTTAGTAGTTTGTAGAGAAGATCAACAGTTACAACACTCCCTTAGGTCAATGCCCAGCTGGGAACAAGCTGTGACACGATAGCACTGTGCGGGCTGAGATAAGGAGCTGGCACAGGCTGCTGCAGGAGGTTTAAGAAGTCTTCACAGTATTAAATGCCAGTGACACATCAGTGCTGCTGCAACAGCTCCAGCCAGTTATCCAGAAGATGTGCTGAGGTGATAGGGGGACACATAGCAGACATTCACCAGCTTTCTACTGATTTCTACAGATACATTATCTACAACACTCGGAGCTAGTAGAGATTAACCTCTACTTCAAAGGGCAGCCTCTCTATAGGGGCTAATGTGACATTAAATTAAGGCCAAGAACCATTCATCACCTATCTTAAAATCCTAAGGTCCTTAAGACTTACAGTGAATTTACTCTGCCACTGCTCTGTGAGTAATGAAACCTGGACAAGAGCACACACACTTATAGCACGGTAAGTGATAAAGACAGAGTGCAGGCTGCAAACAAAGTTTCTGACAGTGCCACTACCCACACCACGATGGCCTGAAAAAAAAAATATATATATATTTTGGTTTTTACGAGACAGGGTTTCTCTGTATTGTTTGAGGCTGTCGGTCCAGCCCAGCCTCGAACTCACAGAGATCCGCCTGCCTCTGCCTCCCGAGTGCTGGGATTAAAGGCGTGCGCCACCACCGCCTGGCGGCCCAAAATATTTTAATTAATCATCTTGTCTGTAAACTTCACAATATTTTGCTGCTGCTGTTTAGCTTTCCTGAACCAGAGTTTCTGTGGCCCATGCTGGCCTTGAACTCCTGATACTCCTGCCTCCACCTCCCAAGTACTAGGATTATAGACTAATTCCATACTTGACAGCATATCATTTTAGCTATTAAAACTATGTAACAATCAAAATCTCAAGCTTACAACTACAGCTAATCGAAGCCTTAGAAAGCTTTCTCTGAAGATTCACAATTGTGGTAATACAGGTATGTTTCAGTTTTATCAAATGCTTTCAAAATTAACATTTGAAAGCATTTTAGGTCTAAGTACAATTTAAGGTTATAAAAAGTTAACCAAAAATAATCATATTTTATAACTATTTCTGGCTCTATAAATTGTGTCAGAGTTTGGCTTTTCAAAGTTATTCAAACACTAGGATTCACAATGTCAAACAGCAGACAACTGCGAATCTTGTAAACCAAGAAACCAAAGTTCCATTTAGATGCGAATTAGGAGAGAAGAGTTAACTTTGAGAACAAAGGGTCTTCCATCAAGAGGGACCTAAGGTGTTCTGAATAAGACAAGAAAGGTGCATGTGTGGTTCAGCATTCTCAAGACCAGATAGACTGAGCATGGCAAGCATTGAGCACTGACACTAGGCAGGGGAGCTCGAGACTTTGCAACTGTGCCGGAAATCCCAGCACTGGCCATTCTGCAATCTTTTTCTAATTAAATTTTTTTTCCAGATATTTTTATTCTATTCTTTCCCTTCTCCCAAATCCTCCAACTTCATCCTCTCCCTCTCCCTCTAAGGAAAGTGTGCAGTCAATACATCCAATGACACTACATTGGAGAAAACTCAATTCCCCTTTCCCAGCAGGTATCAATTTCAAACAGCTCTATTGTTAGAGATGGTATTTTGTGTCCACTTTCCTTTCTGTGCTGGGACTGACCCTGATTTGTCTGGTTAGAATCTGTTCATGTCTAGTGTACATTGTCAGGATCTCAGTGAGTTCATCTGTGTATCAGTCCTATTTCCTAGAAGTCCCACACTCTGGCCTTTGCTCTCTTCCATTTCTCAAGGTCAGTGAAGAAGGTTTCATTTGGTGTTTCTCTAGTTCTCAATATAGCACTTGTGTGGAAAGTTGTTCCTGTCTGGAATTTCTAAAAAGCACAGAGAAATTTTTGCTATGTCTCTGGACACTCTGCAGCCATTCTGATTTTATTAGTCTCAGAGTGTCTCCCTCAGAGATAACAATGAACCTGAATAGACTTTTGTGTGTATAGTAATGTATAACCAGGTAAGTATATGAATAACGAGCACACACCAACTGCTCTTATCACCAGATTCCATCCTAAAGGTCATATTTATCTTGAGTATTAAAAATTAGGAGACTGGGGAGATGGCTCTTCGGGTAAAGTGTTTCTAGGCAAGTATGAGGGAGGACCTTAGTCCAGACGTTCAGCGCTTACATAAATGACAGACATGGTGTCCCAAGTCTGTAAGTGGTGCTGGTGGGGTAGGGAGGTGGTGCAACATGTGCATTTTCTGGGTTGCTTTTCTAGTTCAAACAGCAAATTTCAATGAGAGACTGTCTCAAAAAAATAAGGTGGAGAGCAAGAGACAAAGTTGTTCTCCGGTTTCTACACATGCACACAGACAAATAAATCACAGGCACACACACTCAAAATTAAAAATATTTAAAGGTTTTTAGAGTTAGTAACTTTCTGAAAACTTTTCATGATTTTATGCAGCAATCTTAATGAGGAACAAATATGTCAGAGCCTGATCCTTAAATATATTTTAAGTTCTAAAAGCAAAAACCTCAAAAATCAACCCAGCACTCAAGTATTGAAATTTGCAAAACACTTTTTCTTTTTTTCTTTTACTACTATATTATTAATTATTTAGTAAGAAATAATAATAAAGTCTTGCATTAGAAAACTCAACTCAGCCAGGCGTTGGTGGCGCACGCCTTTAATCCCAGCACTCGGGAGGCAGAGGCAGGTGGATCTCTGTGAGTTCGAGACCAAGCCTGTTCTACCGAGCCAGTTCCAGGACAGGCTCCAAAACAATACAGAGAAACCCTGTCTTGAAAAAAACCAAAAACAAACAAACAAAAAAAGAAAAAAAAAGAAAACTCAACTCAAAGAAGCTAGTTTACATAGAGTAACCAATAGCCAGTAGAAAAAAATTAGAATATTCTATGTCTTTCCAAAGATGGTAGAACATTAACATTCTACTATCTTGCTGGGCATTGGTGATGCACACCTTTAATTCCAGAACTCAGTAGGCAGAGGCAGGTAGTGCCAGAATAAGCTCCAAAGCTACACAGAGAAACCCTGTCTCAAAAACCAGAAACATTCTACTATTTTGCTAACTCCTATGAAACAAAGCAGTACTTATGTTTTCTGTAACAAACTGCCACAAAGTAGCAGTTATGTAGCTACTTAGTCCAGCATAGGTTTTACTGGGATAAAATCAAGTATCTGGCCTGTTTCTCAGATACTGGAGCAAGATTCCCCCCTTGCTCCTTGGTGGAATTCACTTGGAATAGTAGGAATGACATCCTTGTTTCCTTGCTCTATATTCAAGACTTTTCCAGCCCCTAGCAATAGCCTATACATTCCCTGATTTATAATCCATTTTCTTCATCTTCAAGACGAGCAAAAGCAGGCTAAGAGGTAAGTCCCTCTCACCACCTGTCTTTCCAAACCCTTCAACTCCTCTTCCAGTAAGATGGCTCATTGTAAAGCCCTATTTGATGACCTGGGGTTGATCCCTGGGACGCACAGAGTGGAAGGAATTGACTTGCATACAAACAAAGTAAAACAGTTAAAAAAAAGTGCAGTGATATTGGTAGTCACCTGAAGTCTACCTCTTCCCTTGCACACATAGGAAAGTATACTCACACACAAAAACCAAATTAGAAGAGGGCATGTGAAATCTGACATTAAGGCACAAAACAACCCCACTTAAATTTTTTAGTATCGGAAGAGATTATGAGATGGAAATAACTTGTATTATTTTCCTTAGTAAATATTTGTGTGTCTGTGTGGCGTGCTTCCCTGTACATGGCTGGGGAGACATCAGACATCTTTCTCAATTGCTCTCCACCTTACTTTTAGGTCAGTGTTTCTCAACCTTCCTAATGCTGCAGCCCTTTAATACAGGCATCATGTTGTTGTGACCACCAAAGTTATTTTCATTGCATTTTTGCTGTTATGAATCGCATGTGTTTTCCAATGGTTTTATGTGACCCTGTCAAAGGGTACTTCAAGCCCCAAAGGGGTTGCAACTCACAAGTTGAGAACCACTGTTTTAGAGGTGGTCCCATTCAAAGAACCTGGAATTCACCCATTTATTTGGCTAGGCTGGTTGTTAGTGTGTTCCATGTATCCACCTGTGTCACCACCACCACCCTGAGCTAGTGCTACAAACACAATCTCTGCTGTACCTGAATTTTACCCAGGTGCTGTGGATCAAATTCTGGTCTTCATGCTTGCAAAGCAGGCATTGTGGTGACATAGTGCTTATGATTTATTAAAGCTACTAGAGATCAAAATAACAAAGCAACCATACTGGTCAGCCACAGAAGCCAGACACACACCTTTAATCCCAGGACTCAAGATTAAGAGGTAGACAGATCTGTGTTATTTCAAGGACACACTGACTACATGAAATGGATCCAGGTCTAAAAGAAACAGCTGACACAAAGGTGATCTCCGCATTTGGGATCACACGCCTTTAATCCCAACACTAGGGAGGTGGAGACAGGAGTGGTATAGCAGCACTAAGAAAGGAGTAAGAGGAGGTGGAAATAGAGCTGAAAGCCTTTTGCCTCTGAGGATTCTTGGGGACAAGACTGCCATTTCAGCTGGGTAGAGGTAAGATATACTTACTGGCTTGGCTGCTTTGCTTCTGATTTTCAGCTTGAAGTTTGAATCCCAATCGGTCTCTGGGTCTTCTATTTATCATGTTACAAGGCACTTTACCCTTTACTTTAGCCATCTCCCTAGCCTTGCCTTAGGAATTCTTATTAAATAATCTATGTCTATTTCCTTAGTAATACTTATTAGCTTTCAAGTGACAGAAATAAATTAACATGACTCCATGATTAAAAACAAACAATCTTAAACATGTAGCAGCCATACAAACTTACCTCTTAGCAGAAAACTGTTTTTCAAGATACTCGTTGCGAACCAGCTTTGTATCTCCAAACTGCCAAGTGAACTGCAGGTCACAGCTTACATCAAGCCTGGACTGCTTCAGAGTACCATGTATAAAGCCATACTCTCTAGTATTGGTGTAACAAGAAGACAAGTAAACTAAAGATAAAGAAGAGGGAAATAGTTATTTGTATTTAAAATGACAATGCATATCTGTACAATGACAACAGTATAGCTGACAGTTTGGAAATTTCGTTAACAGATGAAGGCAACAATTTACACTTAAGGTTGTACCACAGTAATGTGGACATCCTACACTTAATGTTTGGGAAAACATTGGCATTTTCTCCTCAAACCTATTAGAGCTATCAGTGGTTAACACACAGACATAAGATGACGAGAACCTAGATGACTATTTTTTAACTTATATCAGTGACTCCACAATGTTGGTTATTAATAATTACACAAACCCCATAGCTTCTGTTAGCACTTCTTGGTATTTCCCATGTGTGCTAAGAATATGGTTGAACTGCTTAACTGTTTCAAAACAGCCACAGCATTTTGTATCCCCACCAGCAGTAAATGTGGTCCAAGGCTCCATATTCTCTGGCATCTGTTGTGATTAGTGTTATAATTGGACATTTTAAAAGTGTGTAGTGGTATCTACTTGCTTTAACTTTCATATCCATGGTGATGTATGATGTAAATCCTTTTGTTTTTACAACAGGGATTTCCTGTATAGCTTTGGAGGCTGCCCTGGAACTCAATCTGTAGACCAGACTAGCCTCGAGCTCATAGATTTGTCTGTCTCTGCCTCCCGAGCGCTGGGATCAAAGATATACACACCACCACCACTGCCAACACCTGGTGTAAATCATCTTTTTATGCACTATTTTCTATCATCTTTGCAGAAGTATTTCTTAAGGTATTTGACCCAGTTTTTAGTTTGTTTTCTCATGGTTGCATGTGGGTGTTCTTTCCACACTTGAATTAACAGTCTTTTAAGTTTTGTGAACAGATTTTCAAAGTCAGTGGCTTTCTATTTTTTATATAAAATTCAAACTTTTTTTTTTTTGGTTTTTACGAGACAGGGTTTCTCTGTATTGTTTTGGAGGCTGTCGGTCCAGCCCAGCCTCGAACTCACAGAGATCCACCTGCCTCTGCCTCCCGAGTGCTGGGATTAAAGGCGTGCGCCACCATTGCCCGGCATAAAATTCAAACTTTACAACCAAAATTTTTCTTAGCAGTTAACACAATGAACTTGTCCATATACAAACACATGTTGACTGGCTCTTATTCTAAGTAGTTGAGAACAGGTATTTCAGGTTTCTGATATTTTCAGACTTTGGTGTATCTGGATAGACTATATCACTTTAGTACCCTTACTCAAAAGTCTAAAATCCTAAATCCTAAATTGTTAAAGCATCATGATAGCAACGTAAAAGTTTTAGGTTTTGGTTGGTTTTTAAGGCATTTTGGATTTCAGAATTTCAGATAAGGGATACTAAACCTGTATTACAAAACTGGGAACATTCTATTTTTACTTTACTAAGTACCTTTTTTTTGCAAATGCTAGTTTGTACCTATTGGTACAATCATTTTATTCTTTATATAGTAATAAATACACACCATTTTCTTTCTTTGTTTTTGTTTTTTTGAGACAGGGTTTCTCTGTATTGTTTTAGAGGTTGTCCTGGAACTCGCTTTGTAGACCAGGCTGGCCTCTAACTCAGAGATCCGCCTGCCTCTGCCTACCGAGGGCTGGGATTAAAGGCGTACGCCACCAACGCCAGGCTCTACACCATTTTCTAATGTTAAACTAGTCCTATATCCCTAAGGGTTACATTCCAACTTATAACAGTGTAAAAGTCAGAATTTAAAAAATTACATTTTTGTGTGTGTACAAGTGCCACTGCACATGTGTGGGAGGTCAAAAGATGATCTGTAGCTGTCACTTCTCTCCTACCATACGGGTTCTGAGACTGAACTCAAGTCATCAGGCTCAGTGGCAAGTGCTTTTTCTCCACAAAGCTATCTCATTCACTCTAAATTTTTTCATAAACTATTGTATTTAACTTTCTAACATTCACTGAGGTGCTTATATGTATTTTAATGACAGAATACAAGAAAACCAAGCACAGGTTAGTTATGTTTTTGTCCTGTTTGGATATTAAGGTGAAAATGTACTCTCAGACTTGGTATTCTTTTCTTTCTTCAACTCTTTTTAGTTGAAGTAGTTACATCACTTTCTCCCTTCTGTTTTACTCTTTCCATTTAGTTCAAGGGGCTTTAAATTTTTACTTGTTACTTACTCTCTGAGCTATGTTATGTAAGTGTTTGTTTGTCCCAGAGCCGTGTCAGCCCCAAATGAATGTAGGACACTATATTAATTATGAAGCTGTTGGCTATTTGCTGAGGTTTCTTGTTGGCTAGCTCTGACTTAATTATTAAGTATTTCCACATGGTCTTCTCTTACCAGAGAAAGGGTTGGCCCTCTTACTCCTCTCGCGTCCTACCTGGTGACTTACTGCGCCTCCATTTCCCAGAATCCTCCACTTCTCCTAGTCCCACCTATCTTGCTTCTCTATTTGCCAACACTGCTTTATTCATCAACCAGTAAGGCAAACATATATACAGAAGACCATTCCCCACCAACTTGGGGATTTTCCAGCTATTTTCTTTGCTATTTCAATGTTTAAATTTCATTGTGATCTAAGAGCAGGCTTTGTCTGAGGCATATTTTCAGGCACAGGTGTGGTAATTTCACTGTGTCTCATGCAAGCTTAAGATGAATGATGGTGGTGTTGACTTCCATTACAGTCTTGCTGTTTTTCCATCCGCTGAATGTGTTCACTTCTGAAGGGTTGTTGAATGTTCAAGCATGATAGTGGATTTGTCTATTTCTCCTTGCAGTTTTATAATGTTCTGCTTTAATTTTTACTTCAAACACTATGTAGAGAGGAAGAGTGTCTCTCTGCTAGGACTCTCAGAGTATACAACATGCCTGCTTTCTTTCTATTTGGCTATTCATTACCTACTTCATTTCACTGAAACAATTTATTGTTTTGCTTTTTATGATGACCACTTTAAAAGAGGTACTTTCTGTGTGTGTGTGTGTGTGTGTGTGTGTGTGTGTGTGTGTGTGTGTACATATATCGTCAATGGAGTAAACCCAGTGGGTATATCAACCAGGCCATGTGCTGGAATAGCTGACCAACATAAAATGGATTCCATGGTTTTTATGTGCTTTTTGGTTATGGTTTAGTACTTTTTGTCTTTTTGGGGTTTTTTCCTTCTTTTGAGAGAGACAAAGAATGAACATAGGTGGACAGGGAGGTAGAGGTATACTGTGTGAAGCTATTTAAAAAATAAAGTGTTTTTAAATAATCACAAGTGGTGTACTCAGGGTACTGACTGTTTAATGGAGTAGATTTTCTCACTTAAGTTGAGGTTTTCCTGAATGGTCTTGGACATTTGGGTACTATCATATCTAGCCTTGTATTTTAGCAAGTCTAAAACCATGTTACTTGGGGAAATTGCTGGTAGTCAAAGTGAACAGTTAATCCCACAAGGCAAGATTGAAGTCCTTGTTCTATCTAGGGCATACATCAATACTCTAGAGGATGTGCCCTGATGCTATGTCAGGCAGGAAAAGTACATGTGGCCTCCTTATTCAGGCATTAATAGGGTGAATGCTTGGATGTTGTAGAAGACCAAGCTCTGCATTTTACTTTCAGCATCTCTATCCTAGTAAGAAGGGACAACTCATTGCCACCAAGCTAGGGTTTTGGGGGTACGGAATTTACTGATGCTGTAAGGCAAAGGATAGTAGAGATGGAAAGTCTAGGCTCCCCACTTGGTCACTCCTGGTAAAGAGAATGCTAACCTTGTTATAGTCTAGACTTCCAACTTGGCTTCTTCCACATTTGATGGAAAGGTATATCTGCTTTTCTCTTTCCTCTACTTAATGTTTATTGACAAGGGTGGAGTGGTCATGCCTCTCATCCAAATTCCTGGTTTTTCATAGTAGTAGTATAGTATTTAATAGCTCCCATATTTCCAAGCTGCCCCACCTTTCAGTCCCATGACAAAAAAAAATGGTTTTTATTTACTTTTTTACAGAAGCCTGTACTAAGTGGTATTTTTGGATGGTAGACATCAGCCTGGTTTAAGCAAGCACAAAATTCAGAAAACTATTCCCTAGCCTCAGGTTCCTTAGTAGGTATCTTACATTTGTTTTACATGCAAAAAAACCCCCAGGTTTTCAGTGTAATTACTGGAAGTGTAAAGACTGGGAGCTATGACTATGCCATTTTGTATGAGATCAGAGGCATATACATATCTGGGGAAACCCAATATGTGACATAATCTAGTTTAATATAGAGTCAGAATGAACATGAATGAACCAGAGAAAGTTTTTTTTTTGTTTTGTTTTCTGAGACAGGGTTTCTCTGTATTGTTTTGGAGGCTGTCCTGGAACTCGCTCTGTAGACCTGGCTGGCCTGGAACTCACAGAGATCTACCTGCCTCTGCCTCCTGAATGCTGGGATTAAAAGCATGCACCACCAATGCCCAGCTTGAAACAGGGTTTTTATTAGAATTTCATCTTGTACAGAAATTTTACCTTTCTCAGTTGTCTTCCTGATCTTGGGAATGGTGAATTTCTTCCGAGAACTGGGTTCTGCACCAGTAGTCCATGAAGATTCACTGTCTGGGCTCGTTCGCCATGTCTTATACTTATCATTCTCTTTTGTTTCCATTTTGTTGGTGGCCTAAAATCAATCCCAAGTTATTAAGATTAGATATGTTTCTTACCTCTCTGTGGAAGAACAGCAGTGCAACGTGGCAACAATCTGAAAGCCCTCAGAGAAAACTGAGTAATGATATATTCTTAGTCATACTGTCAACCGCAATTTGCTAGGCTACCCCAAATAGAAAATGAATAAATTTGAAATATATTATATGTATGCCTTTTAAAGTTTTCAATAGTTCACTCTTTTGTAATTTACTGGATTAAAAATGAGTGGCCAAAAGCCTCTCCATTCCCCCAAAGCTTAAAAACTTCCACCAATAATGATTTTCATAAGTATGGTAAAATTCTTGCTAAATATTCTACTCTGTAAAAGTCAATTTTTCTATATACTATGTTACTACAATTTTCTTAAATCACAATTTCTACCTGTCGGAGAAATCAATGAGTCACATATTGCGTATTGATGACCATCCCTATACTTAGCTGATAGCTAACAAGTCACTGTTCAACTGGTGATTTCTCCACAGTCTACAATGTTTAATGCAGGCTCCACATTGTATTCAAGAAATTCCTCCTTTCCTTTTTTCTCTCTCTTCCCTCCTTCTCCCTCCAGTTCACTACACTACTCAGATTTTTCTCTTTAAATTTTTATTCTATTATGTATATGGGTATTTTACCAGCATGCACGCATGTGTATTACATATATACAGGGTCCACTGAGATCAGAAGAAGGCATTTGAGTGGTAAGAGACATTTGTTTGTGGCCATGTGGGTACTGGGAATTGAAAATGGGACCTCTGCAAAAGCAGCAATTGCTCTGAATTGCTGAGCCATCTCTCCAGCCCCTCAAACACTTACTATTCTTTACCTCTCAAAATAGAAATCAAACTAGCTATTGAAGTTACGGTGCTTCCATACAGAGAGCTTTATGTGAACAGGCATTTTTATACCTTTTGATAATATGGTTCACAAGCTGCTTGATGACAACCACTCAGCTCAAACATTAAATCACAATTCAAGTTATGAGATAATAAAATTCTTAGACAAGTCACAAAAGGTTAACAGGAGCTTTAGTCTCTATAGGCAATCTTGCAATGATCCAACCATAGGTAAAAAATAAGCAAGAAAATGAGCAAACACTAGTGAGCTGGTTCCTCCTTAGAGACAGACAGATCTCTGTGAATTCGAGGTCAGTCTACAATTCTTGGATATCCAGGACTACATAAAAGTATGGCACTGTCTCAAAACAACAAGAATATCTTTACAATATCTAAATGCAGTAAAAACAGGCCATCGCTACCTGGCAGCTTAGTGATAAAAAGAAAAGTAATTTAGAGAAACTTATACTATAAAAACCTCTCAATGAGTCACAGTTTATTATTAACAGCAAATAAGGTATAGAATAGTTGGCTGGCTGAGTGTACTTGAAGGGCCAAAAGTGCTCAATATTGCCACTACAGTTAAATTACACATTCAGAGAAACTCAAAGATTTTAGTCTCTTACCAACGTTTCTCCAGTAGAATTTACCAATAAAGGTTTCTGAAATTAACTAATTTGTTTCTTGGTGCTTAGGACATCACAAAAAGCTAATTCTAAAGCTGACAAAAGATCTTATTCAAGAAGCAGCAGGGTTCAATATTCTATGAACTATAGGTTGTTACTTTTCAATTAACAATTTTCTCATGTAAATATATTTCTTAAACTTTAGTCCAAATAATCTAGTCATATAAATAAAAGTCATGGCTCATAGCCATTACATTTACATTAATCTTTGCACTCATGTATAAAATGTCTAACATTACATATTATAGGATATACACACTATTTTGGGTTGTGAGCCTAGTCTTTAATGGCTGAGCTATCCCTCTAGCCCGATATACACACTATTTACTTTTCTGTAAGATTAGGAGTTTGAGGTGTCCTCTTCAAGTACTAGGACTACCCTAGGTGAGAAAGAGGGTAGGACAAGGAATAAATTTGAAAAACATCACAGGTAATGAACAACAGATATAGAACTAAAGAACAAATGAACCAAAATGAAAGTTGCTCTACAATAAAACATCTATTCATATAGCCTTTAAAATAAATGTATTATGAACAACTTTGAGTCAATACACTTAGGCATTAGATAAAATAAATCCTTGGGAAAACATTAAAATTCAATCTAGAAAATAAAAAGAATTGACAATCTATTAAATTTAATAGTAAAATAGATTTTGAAACATTAATAAATCATCATAATCTAAACTTATCTCCAAAAAGCAAGGGTGGATTTAACAATAGGAAACATGCTTGCTTTTTTCCTAAATTGGTTATTTCAACAGATGCAGAAAAAACAAGTTAAATTAAAATTCATTTCTATTTTATAAAGCTTAACAGACAGGAATAGAAACATCCATAACCTGACTTTATATATAGTCTACTGAAAATCTATAACAAATTGGAAATGTAAGAGTCAAATAAAGATACCTACTTTTTCTTCTTAACAGTGTACTGGAGTTGCTCATAAGAGCAGAATAAATAAAATGTATGAAGAACTTTAAAAAAGTAAACGGGGGTGGGGGGGAGGGAAATTGTGGGCCCACCATGTAGAGATGGCTCAGAGGTTAAGAGCACTGGCTGCTCTTCCAGAGGTCCTGAGTTCAATTCCCAGCAACCACACGTGGCTCACAACCATCTGTAATGAGATCTGGTGCCCTCTTCTGGCCTGCAGGGAAACATGCAGACAGGACACTGAATATATAATAAATGAATGAATGAATGAATAAATGCATCTTAAAAGTAAATGGGAAAAGTGAGACTGGGTGCCCCAGGCTTAGTAATTTCAAGGAGTGACAGAGACTAACTCAGTTCCCAAGAGAAAGCTCAGACCCAGAATGACAAGCAGAGTCAGTAGAATGTTAGTCAGAAAGGCAACATGTAATAATGGATTAGAATTCTGGTTCAACCGCAAAGAATGCTTCATTGAGCAAAGTGCCTAACTTCTCTGTAACTATGTTACATGGTTACAGGACCTGACCTATAGGAACTGCACAAAATTAATTATAAATGTAAACCTGATTCCTTTCTAAGGAGCACCCCAAGTTTACTGAGAACTACAATGTAGTAAAGACAAATAGAAGTCACATACAGGCCCATGTCTAGTTCCATAATTAACTAGTAATCAGATCTTCTGCAAGTCATTATCTTTCCTTTACAGCACATTATTTTGTATGTAGAGTGAATGTTTATGTATTTCTCATAAACAAGTAGACAGCAAAAGAAATAAATCCTCTTCAAGTTGAATAGTTGGTTTAATAGATTTAAACCCCTCAAGATCTATTTTTTTACACCCTATTTATTTTATTTATTTATTTACACAAGTCAAGGTGGGTGGCATGTATATGTTTCATGGTACCTCTGTAGAGGCCAAAGGACAAACTGAAGGAGTTGATGGTGAACCATTGTTGGGCTCTCTCATAATTTAGTTTAATTGTATTTTTATGAGACAACCATTACAAATCAAAAACAAAAGTTCTTAAGACTACTAGTTATAAATGAGATCTCTTTCAGAGCAGCAAGTTAACAGTATACTTGAAAGTTCTAGAGCAAAAAGAAAACAATCATACTCAAAAAGGAGTGGATAGCAGGATATAATCAAACTGAGGGCTGGAATTAATAAAAAAGAAACAACAATATAAAAAAGTTCTTTCTCTGAGAAAAATCAGTAGGGACATAACAGAGAATGAAGAAATACAGGAACTCATAAGGGCACAATTTAAAAAACATGTACTCCACCAAATTGGAAAACTAAAATTAATTTTCTCAATATGTATCACTTCCCAAAGTTAAATAAAAATCAAATAAGCAATTTAAACAGACCAATAGCCCCTAGTGAAATAGAAGCAGTTATTAAAAGTCTGCCAATCAAAAAAAGTTCAGGGCCAGAGTTTTACAACAGAATTTTACCAGACTTTCAAAGACTTAATGTCAATATTCTTCAAATTATTCCACAAAATTGAAACAGAAGAGGTTTTATAAGGCCACAGTTATCCTGACGGTCAAATCACATGAAAACTCAACAAAGAGAATTCCAGCTAATTTATGAATATACATGCAAAAATTCTCAATAAAGTACTTGCAACTTGAATCCAAGAACACATAAAAAGGTCATTTACCATGATCAAGTATGATCCATCCCAGAAATGCAGGGATAGCTGAACATACAAAAATCTGTTAATGTAATCCACTATATAAACAAATTGCAAGGGAAAAAAACCACACATGATCATTTCATTATATGCAGAAAATGCTTTGACAAAAATTTGCCTTCATGATTAAAGTCCTGGAGAGAGCAGTGATACAAGAGACAGACCTAACATAATAAAGGCATTTACAGCAAGCTACAGCCAGAATTAACTTAAATGGATAGAAACTCAGAAGCTATATCACTAAAGTCATGATCAAGTCAAGGCTATCCACTCTCTCCATACCTACTTAATATAGTACTCTAAGTCTTAGCTCTTATCTTTGAGTAAACCAGACTACCAACAAACTGCTGAGCTTAAAATTTCCCAATATTATTATTTTCATTTATATGAGGCACACTTGATTCTTTCAAAAATTTTTTTGTTTTGAAATCAGGTCTTATGTAGACAGTCTGGCCTCCAAATCTACATGCCTCCTAACACTTATTTCTTTAAATGCAAAAGAAATGAATTTTTAAACTACTTATTTGTGTGTGTGAATGCTATTATGCATTCTGTGGTGTGGGTGCATTTGTGTCACAGCATGGATGTAAGGGTCAGAGGACATCTTTCAGGCATCAGTTTTTTTCTTCTACATTAAGTTCCAGGGATCAAGCTGAGGTCATCAGATTTGCATAGGAAGCATTTTTACTGCCTAAATCATCTCATTGGCTCTGAATATACTTTCACTTGGTAATATCACCATCTTAATTCTAGTAAATATGAACTCGTTCTTTTTTGTCTGAGTTATTTTTATAATGCTTTGTTTTCTATATTATATGCATGTATTGCTATTTAATAATTATTCATTTCCATAATTTCATTATTCTTTGGAGCCTGGCAGACATCTAGACTGATGAACTACAATCAAGAGGTCCAAAGTCAATCTTCACTACATATGGAATTATAACATGAATAATAATAAACCCAGAGGCCGATTATTGCGGTGCAAGCTTCAAGCTGAAGAAGAGAAAAGCAAAGCAGTCGGCCACTAGCTCTAACCTCTACCTCAGCCTGAAAGGGCTGTCCTGTCTTCAGTGTGGCTGGAGAATAACTCTCTCATGAGACCCTTTGCTTCTTCCTTTTATATTTCCCTAGTGCTGGGATTAAAGGCATGTGATCAAAAGTGCTAAGATCACCTTTGTGTGAGTTGTGTTTCTCTTTTAGACTTGATCAATTTCATGTAACAGAGATCCACTGGCTTGTCTCTTGAGTCCTGGGATTAAAGTTGTGTGCCACCACTGTGGCTCTATGGCTAGCTAAAATGGCTCTTAAAAAGCAAATCTCTGTTCCTTTAAAGTTGCCCCATTTGTAGTATTTTTTTAAAGCAGCCTAGACACACTAAAGCAGAGGCTTTAGATGATCTCCTATGGGCAACTTGCACTGACCCTTATTCATCAAGGTCACAAGCAAAAGGGTTATGATTTCTATGACAAACAAAAACCGCTCAGGCTAAAATACATGTGTGTAAAAACAATGATCCGGGCTAACATAGAACTGAATAACTGATTATCAAATGTCTGTTCAACTGGGATGGGAGGACTGAAAGAGTAGTGTATTGTCTTCCAATGACTGGAAGCCTGAAACTAAGCTTCCCTAAAGGGTCCAATGTAAATAAAGTTTTTAATTGGTCTAAATAATAAAAACCCAGAGTCAGAGATAGAGGGAAATGCCGAGAGATCAGAGAGAATAAGGAGCAAGCCAAAGCCACCTTACTTACTATCAGCAAGATTCATCTGTTAATACTCTTACTTAGTAACTCTGATCTTTTTGACCAATTCAAGGAGAAGGACCTGGCTGAACATCAGATTCAACATGCATGTGGCCATGATTACATGCCCTCTCACAATGTAAATGTAGCTGTTACTGTAAATGTGAATGCTATTCTAGGGTTTACATGTCCATACTTGTGAAACACATATACACACACACTCCAGGAATATCACCTACAGCTTGATCTTTTCTACTATACCCAGCAACTAGAACTTCATGGTTTTCCTCAATGAAGGTCAAGCTGCCCTCATTGGGCACGAAAGCTGTGATCTCCTTGCCGTTCTCGATGAGCTGAACGGATAGCACAATTTGGCTGTTTGGCTTCAACCCCTACTTTTTCCAGCACAATTCTCTTCACATGAGAGGCACCTCCAAAAGGGTTGGCCTTCAGGGCTGTGCCCAGGTGAGCTTTCTTATACTGTTTATCATGCCACTTCTGGTCCTGTCGGTGACTGCGGAGCTTCCTGGTAGCACGGAGAGAGACCACGGCACTTGCCCATCTTGCCGGTGCCATGGGACCCGCTTAAGCCTGCCCAGTGACAAGTAGCTAAGGGTCACTAGCTAAAAAACTCATTTTCTTGTGTCTTTAGTCCAAGTTTTTACTAATAACACTAGACTGAAATTCTCTCAGAGTTTAAAATCTAGTAGAAAGCATCTTGTATAAGAACTGAGCAGACAGGAGTCTGTCTCTTCTCTGTGGTTGGCTAAATGCTGATCTTCTCACCAGGGAAGTTGTGTAGTTGGAAATTGTGACAGTTTGCCGCTCTTAGGTCAACTTCATCAACCTTCCAACTACTTCCAGACTCTTCGGGTCCACATACAGAGATATGTGAGAAGCTGAACATTATGTGCAATCTGAGGTCCTCCCCTAAGTTAATCATCCCCAATCCTCTCCCACCTTTCCAATAGCTAAAAGTATTTGAGTATTCCTCTCTATGCTTATTGTACATTCTTTTTCTATTTGTTAACAGTTGATTCAATTTCCATCCTGATAGTGAATTTCATCTTTAGAATTAATCAATCAAATACTTAAAATTATTTAATCAGTATGTGGGTGAGCAAAATTCTGTAACTTTTTTTTTTTTTTTTTGGTTTTTCGAGACAGGGTTTCTCTGTATTGTTTTGGAGGCTGTCCTGGAACTTGCTCTGTAGACCAGGCTGGCCTCCGAACTCAGAGATCCCCCCTGCCTCTGCCTCCCAAGGGCTGGGATTAAAGGCGTGCGCCACCAACGCCCGGCTTGTAACACTACTTTTGATTAAAAACATAAATCGGGTGTCAGAGAGCCAACTCAGCAGGTAAAGATGCTTGCTGCCAGGTCTGATAACCTGAGTTTGAGGTCTGGGTGGAAAAAGAGAACTGACTCCTGCAATATGCCCTCTGACCTTCACTGTGGTGTGCACACAGAAAAATAAATACATGTAATCTGGCTGCAAAATATTTTCCTCTCCTATTTATATACTGTGTCCAAGGGCAAACTCTAATTCTATATACACAAATATCCTAAGCAGTCCCAGCATACTAACTTAATTTTATGAACATTATTTCTTATATTAATGCTAATTATAAATAGCCCAGTCTTCTCTACTTACCTTTCTTTATCCAATTTTTCTATCTCCCATGCAAAATTCAGGTCCTTTGAAATTAAGTATATCCTGTGGTCTGACTGCAGCCTCCCAAATTTGTCTGTTGAACCTAACCACTGATGCAGCAGTACTGAGATGACTGAGTCTGCAGGCTCCATCAAATGAGATTGTTAGCCATTTCAAGAGATTTATTTTATTTTTATCATGTGTAAATATGTGTGTGGGTGCCTGCTGGTGTCAGATCCTCCATGAAACCGGAGTTACAGACAGTTTTGAGCTGCCTGACATGGATGGGTGTTGGGAACCAAACGTGGGTCATCTCTGTACAAGAACAGTAACCACTGAGCGTTCTCTCTAGCCCTAGATTAATGCTACTTTAAAAGACAACCAAGGGAATCAGAGAAATCTGGAAAGTCTATTCTACCCCGTGAAGATGTGATGAGATGTTGTGTATGAGAAAGCTGGTCAGACAAGGAATCTGTTGTTGCTTTAACTCTGGATTTTTACAGCTCTCAGACATTTAAAAACAGTTTCTTTATGTAACCAAGGTTGGCCTTGAACTCAAGAGCCTCCTGCATCAGCCTCTTGAGTAATGTAGTTAACATATACACCATCATGCACAGCTGAGAAGCACATTTCTGTTGTTTACAGGTTACCCTATTTATGGGGCATTATAGCAGCCTAAATGGACTAAGATACATTCATGTGTCTTCCTCTATTGAAAACCTATTCATAAATGAGAACAAATCAGTTAAAAAGTTTGAAAACAAATCATCCCAGAAGTAACAGTAACAAAGTCATTATTTGAAATACTTACCACTCTGCAATGGTATCTAATATTATATAGTTATGATCAGGACTCAGTCCATACACAAAGGATGAAGGAGCATCTACTAAAAGAGAAAAAAATAGGATGTAGGAAATGATGGTAAAAAAGTGCCCCCAGAATTATCTCTTTGTAGTTCACGTCATTCATTTTTATTTCTGCTGTCTGCCTCCCTTACTCATTTTTATCTCCTGCATCTCTCTCAAATCCTTTTCTTTCATTGCTTTTTTCTCTTCCCTTCATAAAGTCTCATCTGCTAATCAGATTCCACTCTCAGCTCACCATCTACACAACCTCTAATGAAATAAAACCCATGACATAGCAGATGTGCCTGCTCTAGCGTTTTTGTTTTTTAACAATACAAAAACCACTAAACACTACAGTCTGTTACTTTTGTACATATTCATAGTGAACAGTTATCACAATGCTTTGCACAGTGTATGTACTTATATATTAGTACCTCATTTCACCTCCTCCTTATCAGAAGACAAAACACAGACCAAGAAAGCCTAAGGCACTTGCCTCTACTCATCTGCCAAGTTCATTTTCAGGTCCGGCTTGCTGTCTTAGTCTGTATTCTAAAGCACTAAACTATCCCAATCCAGTCTTTAAATATTATGCAAGGGCATTTAAACTTTAATTTGGATTTACTGCACCATAGAAACATTAAACAGCTGTGATTAGTTTCTAGCCTAAAGATCTATTACAATTATCTTTGTATTATTGTGAAATGAGACAATTTTGACTTAACATTTTAATATCAGGGTAATAAACACTAACTAATTATATGGTAAAATGTATAGTATACTAATTTATTTATTAAAATGTTATACATTCTTCAAGTAAATCCATTCTTTATTAAATATCAAGCAAATTGAGTCATACTGAAAATTTTAGAGTTTCTCTTCTCTCCATGTTACAAAGATATTTAAGTAACAAAGATATTTAAAACACGTTTGTAGATCAATTTTTGAAAAAAAAATGCTACTATGTATTTTAGACTCTGATTTACTATTTTGTGTTTTATTCAAGGATTTTAATAAAGTGCCCAAAAGATCTAAAGAACATACAAATGAAAATAGAAAAGAAACAACTGGACAAATGTAGTCATGTACTATGTGTAATAAGAAAAAGGACTGACATATAAAAGTGAAATGCCAGAACAGGCATGCATGGTACGTCATATCTGTTCCCAGTTTAGGGAGGTAGAATCAGGACAATCCATAATTCAAAGTCATCCTTGGCTATACACCAAGTTTGAGTACAGCCTAGGCTACACAAGACCCTGTCTCAAAAAAGAAAGGAAAAAAAGAAAAGTTAGTAACAAAATGCCGAATAATTTGGGAATTTTAGTAACAGTCCAGGCCTCACTGTCATTCAAAGGATATCAATAATGGTATGAAATGCTTAGTATTAATTATATGTGTGACACATAACTAACTATAATTTGATGGTTTTTCATTTCCAGTTTAGGCCTGGAAGAGTTATTTCCACAAAGAGAAGTATCTCCCTGTCACCAGTCAGACAGTGGCATAAGAATAACCCTATCACAACACTCACAAATGCATTGAAGGAGTGGGTTCATGATGAAGCATGCTCTTCACCCTTCAAAGAGATCTGAAAATTTCCCAACAAGAAAAAAGATTTTCCAGGTTTGTGTAATGATAACAGAAAGTAGGATCTAGCCCATGCTAGATTACATGCTGTTGTCCAGAAAAATGTAATGAGGATGAAGATTCACAAACAACTTTTACACTTTGGACAATTTGTACACTAGGAGCCACTTTCAAAACTGTACAGTAAATATGGGTAAGAACTAGCCACTAAAGGTCATATAAAGTTGTAAAACTGGAATGGCAAAAGAGTGACAAACAAAACTCCTGTTCAGGAAAAGTTACCTACCAGGACAACCCTACAACAGAGCAACATCAACCACGGGTTTTAATAAAGACAGTTCCAGTTTGGTTTATGTATCCACAGATTTACGGCCTATGTTCAGTTTTTACAAAGCAAACAACAATGGACATCTGAGTGTGGCGGTGCAATAGCTACATCACAACACTTCTTAGAGGCTGGTGCAGCAGGACTGTGAATTCCAGGTGAGCCTGGGCTATTTCAAAATAAACAAATCTACCACTGGATAAAATGCCCTCATCCAGCAACACTTTTTTCCTTTACTATGTCTATTTTCTATCCCTTTTGAAAGTTGTACAAAAGAACAGAAAGCATCAACATATCATAAACACAGAACAATTATTTAAGAATGAAATTATATTGGAAAAATTAAGTATAAGGTGAGAAGTTAACAGAAACAGAGGAAGCAGTTAGCACAGTTATCGTAAAGTGTGGATTCCACTTAGATCCAACTATTTAGGTCAACGAGGTTCAAATCAATTTTAAAGACGTCTCATGACAAATGAAAGAAAAATTCATTAACAAGGTACCTTTGAAATATACAAAGGCACAAATTTAGAGAAAAAACGCTATCTGGGGGCTAGAATATAGCATAGTGGCAGAATGTTTACTAAGCATGTGTGAAGCCCTAAATTCAATTTCCAGCACTGCCAAAAAGGTGATCTTTATTTACAGTCACGGTCTATCCTTAGTCAATTCCACAATTTTGTTGTCATTAAAAAGTTGTTTTAATATTGCATATATAAGGATGGATTTCCCATGAAACTTTTGGGACAGGTTCTCCTTCAGGTCTAAGCACCTAATTATGTAAGTCAAATGAGAATTAAGTTAAACATAATTTGCATGCTTAACATCTGTCCCAAGAGCCTAGGCTATGGGAAATTATACTTTCAGTCCAGCTGCTTTTCATCAGGGGAATAACTAACGTTAAGGGGCCCCCAAGGATTAGGATTCTCCCTTGGGAGTTCACAACCTTTAGTAAAAACAGATCAAGTTCCACAGACCCAGAAGCCACCCAGGCTTCAGAGAAAGGTGAGAAAACACCCAAGTTCATCAATCAATCCTAGACTCTTAGTTCTTACTCCAACCTTACTGAATGGACAAATTCCACCCAGCTTTGCTGAAACATAACCAGACTCCCATGGAGTAAAACTGCAAAGGATAGCACGCAAGCTATTCTACAACAAGGATGATTATCTAGGTTACCTGCCTTTATGTATTAGCAGTATTTTATTTTTGAGCTCAAGGTATTAATTACAGATGTGACCCTTTAATTGGGATAAGAGCACAAAGAACAATAAACGAAGACCTCATAAATGTCACTTCTTTATCTTCCTTTTCCACAGATAAAAACAGAACTAGCTACTTGGTCAAGGTCCTAGAAATTAGAAGGACTAGAAGAACATAAAATGTGAAGGTTTGTTGTGCTGCTAGGCTGAAGAGTGAAAAGATGATCAACTAATCAATAGAGACCAAAATAAGTGCCCTCTCTGTTCAGCAGATGAAAATTATAAAAGAAAAGAACTGGGAATTATTGTAAGGCACAGGGATAAGATTAGTGGCTAATTCATCACAGTTATGACACTTTTTAGAAGACATTAGGGAAATACAGAGAAATAATCAGATGATTAAAGATAATGACAGAATTTTCAAGGGAATAACATAAAACTCCTGGAAAAAAAGAACAGTAACAAGAGTAGTTTATTTAATCTTAGTAGAAAACAAGGTATTTTCCCCAAAATCAAAATTATCTCTGAAATCTGTCACATCTAAGAATCCCAACAATTCATTTTAATGAATGTAGAAAAAAATAACTATGCAGGTGACAAGTTTCTAACTAAAGCACACCAACACTTAAGTGACCATTCCCCTACCACCTGCTTTCTAGTTAAATGTATTCCTTAGATTTGCCTTTAATGTTCAACTTTAATCATCTGATTATTTCTCTGTATTTCCCTAATGTCTTCTAAAAAGTGCCATACTGTGATGAATTAGCTACTAATCTTATCCCTGTGACTTACGGTAATTCCCAGTTCCTTTCTTGTGTAATTTTCATCTGCTGAGCAGGGAGTGGACTCGGTTTGGGCTCTACTGATTTGCTGATCATCTTTTCACGCTTCACAGCCTGGCAGCACAACAAACTTTCTCATTTTATACTCTTCTTGGCCATCTAACTTCTAGGGCCTTGACCAAGTAGCTAGCTAGCCCTGTGTACGTAGTTGCTCTTGCCAGTCAAGATGTTTCTCTCATTTTTAAATAATACGAGTCTTTCTGTGTTACTTAAAAAAAAGCTAATAAATAGTGGCTTCATTTTCTAAACAGCTTGATACTGGAAATCTAGCCACTGTTCCTCACTTTTCAGTATACTGAAAAACTGATAAGTTACCAAGGTCATCATGATAAGTGCACCCTCCCACACCTGTTTCTCTCAAAATGGTTGCTCTAAGTAGTCTAAGCTTTCCTGGAACTGGCAATCTTCCTGCCTTGGTCTTTCGAGTTTTGAAATTATAGATGTGTACCCTCAGGCGTGACTAAGAAGATACCCCACCTCCACACCTGAACCAAAAAAAAAAAAAAAAAGAGTAATTTTGTAATGGAGTCAATGCTTAGAAAAAAAAATCACTAATACACAATTATTATTCCTTAATTTTTATCAAATTCTGTGTCTTTCTCATGAATGAGGCAGAATGGTCACTTAAAATATTTTAAATAAATTTAAATTTGAAAAGGTACCACCAGCCCATCACTTGTCAATTTTCTTTCACGTCAGCAATGACGATGTGCCTTCTATGTAGAGTGAGTTTTGATATCATATACCTACATCTAACATTGCATTTGCCTTAAGATTCTATCTGACTCCATTTCACAGACTGTAAAACAAAAGTACAGAGATTGCACAGGTTTAACTGACTGGGATGGACATGAAAGACATGCAAGAGACAGACGGGTCTGTAAAGTTTTATCTAAAATTTGTCCTTTTGCTGCTAACCTCATTGCTTCCTATTCCCCGATCAACTGTGACTTTGCATGACACACTGCTTGGGAAGCATAAGTTCAATAACACCATTGTAAGTTCCCCTGGGTTTAGACTTCACTCACTACCTTCCCGTTTACTTTACTTACACAAGCAAATATTCTGTTCTTAATTTTGAGAGCTCTGTTTATCCTTGATTTAATTGATTAATGGCACAAAGTTATAGTAACCCTTTACATGTACTAAGAAATATTTGCTTGTACCTTTTCTTTTGGTTTTTCACTCTATTGTTCTTGCTAAAATCTTGCAATAAAATGTTCAGTGAACTTGAAATTTTTTTCAATGTTTTTCCTGACAGTCTCCAAGAAGAGAGACAGAAAGAGCACTGTCCCAGCTGACACAATCACTCCAAGGTAAAGTTACCTGTGCACTAATTAATGGAAGCAGTCACAAGCCTATTATGACTTGCTCTGACAATAGCTAAATTGAAATGCCTCCTAAAAAAGAACCTCTTTCAGTTAAATTGTTTTTGGTGGTGGAGGGAGAGGGTTGAGCAGTGGTTTTCAACCTTCCTAATGCTGTGATCCTTTAATACAGTTCCTTATGATGTGGTGATTCCCAACCTTAACATTATTTCATTGCTACTTCATAAATGTACTTTTTGGAGACAGAGGTTTGCCAAAGGGGACGCTACCCTCAGTCTGAGAACCACTGTTTTAGAGTACCTGGGTAAAGTCATACTACTTTACCTCAACAAAAATCCACACATCATCTCGGGAAACAATAACCTACTGGATGGCATCCCAACTTTGTAAGTACTCTGAGCTTGAGACTGAAAGGCTTCAGAAGGGAAGTTCTCTCTGACCTTCTCTGGTGATCTTATCTCCCATATTTTCTTCTAGGAAGCAGCTCATAGAAAACTGGTCCCCCTTCCCCAGACGAAGTCACAGAAACTAGAAATCCTGTTTTCCAAAGCAAGCTAAGAAGTCAGATAGCCACACTATCCTTTTTAGAAAGACCCTAACCCCAAGTGGGTCTTGCTTCACACATGCGACGAAAAGCTACCTACCAAAGCCAGAAATGGGTTCTGCAGGGTTTTCCGTCCACCTATTAACATCACACATCATAACCTTTGTCATTATGTTTGCACAGCTATTAATTCTTCTGTTGAACCTACTGGTAACAGCTTTCCCTGCTCTTTGTAGTATGTAAAATTTTGATTCTCTCTAAAAAAAAACCATAACAAAATGGGTCACTACAGGACCATAATCCTTACAATAGATGAGGGAAATCACTCTATCCTGTGCAAAAAGGAACCATCAACTTCTACCTGTGTCAAGTTAAATATGCCCTAGACCGGAAAAAGACACTCATTTTCACTTTAGTCTTGATGTTCAGTCTACAAAACCACTAGTACTAACAAGCTTATAAAAGAAATGAAGTTTTAAGTTCACTGACAAAAAGTATTTCACCCCTTGAGGCATGTAAGAGAGAGTGAATGAGTGTGGACAGCTTTAGACTTGTATTCTGACAAGACTCTACTTTAGTTTCAAGTACAGTAGACTACACCTATCAGGAAAACCTATAGAATACAAATATTTTTCTGTCTATCTTGGGTTCGAACAAAGTTCTCCAAAATGGAAACTAAGATTGGTAAGGATTTGCCTGTATCAAGCAAGCTCCACTTGTGAAAGCTGCTTTATCAAACAAAGCCTCAGCTGTTGTATTAACAGACCCCCTCAGGAGCAGCTAACCCTCATTTCAAAGGGCAGCAATTACAAAGGCTTTACATGATGTAGATTACACATTCCAAGGATGGAGAATGGCTACCAGATTACAGGGACGCTCTTCAAAGGCAAAGTTGCCTATTAAAACAACGTACTTAAGTTGCCTATTAAAACAACGTACTTATAAGCATATGGTTTTAAAATGGTTTGAATTATGCTTAGCTTATTTTGTAACTCAACCCTACGTAGTAAAATAAAGCTGTTACACTGATTTCTGACAGCATAGACTAACTTCATGAAGCTAAGTATAACGAAGCAATGTCAAGTCCTCTTGGGAAAGCATTTTTAAACACATCAAATACACGAATAAAACACCTGTTGAACAAGGAGTCTTTTTTTAATCGAAACAAGGTGGTCATTTTTCATCTTTAATATACAGTACATTGTAGATTTCAACTCAAACTAACCACAAATGCAGAACACTCAGGGACTGGAGAAATGGTGAGATAGCATTATACCTAACAGGGCACATTCAGGTGCTTCAAATGACTTAAGTCATCCTTCAAAAAGACGAACATTCTAAAGTAAAGGCAAAAGCAAATCAAACCAGAACACAGCCAAAGCTTACTAAATTAGTACAATTTACCAAAACCAAACCCTACCAATTTTCTAATATTAATCTTCCAATACTGTGAAACTGTGGCTGCTTATCCCAATTTAAAGAAACCGTGGTCCAGGTATCATTCCTTAGTAATAATAAAACGTAACTTTTATACTTGAAAATGCCCAAGGAAACAAGTTAGTACAATGAGGGGGAAAAAGAAAACTTCAGAAGACCCAGGGACCACTTGAGTACAAGTTGTAACATGTTTTAACATATGGAACTGTGAAAGTGAGGTATATGCTACAGTTTAAAGTATGAGCTGCTAGGGTCAAACATTTAAAAAAAAAGGAAAATGAGTTACTTGTGGCTTTATGAATTCTTTAACAATTTCTTAACGAAGAATACCCACAGGGATTTAAGGTGTTTAAACACTTGTCCAGCAAATGTGATCTTTCTGAACATGTAAGGTTCAGACTTTAAAATGCCTGGGCAATAATTTAAAACAGGTTTTTGCCTTGCTTTGAATCAAAGCTTTTAAGGTGACCCAGAACAGGGATTAAAAAACCCAACCAAACAAATATCCTTAAGTACTGACTTCAGTCCTCCAGTTCCCTGAAACTCAATTGTTAAAATGTTCTCTGTCTTCCAAACAGCAAAGAAGCAATGCATTTTTCCTTTTTCTTACTTTTCTTTTTTGAGAGGGAATATGTGTGATGGGGGGTGTCTCTCTCTGTAGACCAGGCTGGCCCCCAACTCAAGAGAACCGCCTGCCTCTGCCTCGATGGGCTTAATTTTAAGTGAAAACTGGGGACTTTTCCGGTTGTTGCTATGTAATTTATTTTTCATTTTGTTCTTCTCTCCCCAGTCCGCCCTATCTCCCTAACCAACCAACATCATGTGAAACCCAGAAGCTTTTAAACATAGCCCAAAAAGTAAAATTTTCGAAATGCGAACGGAATAGCACATTTCTTAAGGCGTGTACTACTTTCATTCCCTCCACACGGTTAGTAAAAAGGAAATTCAAAGTTATAAGCAGGCAATGAATAATTCTCTGCCTGCTACATTATACCCTGAAGTAGACCGACCCTTATTCTGTCCTTCTTTTCCCAACAGCGAACACTGTACACTGCACTGTACAGCAGTTTGACAACACACACTTTCCGACCCTGAGGACGCTGTGACATCTTCACAGCATCGGGGTCGCCAACAACCTCCGCCTTTCCCTTCACTGCCTCAACAGCCCCGCTCCCCTATTCCGGGCTTGTCCACACAGGAAACCCAGACGATCTGGGTCCAAGTGGGAAGTGACTTGAATGGAAAACACCCGGGTAGCCGCTTTCCCATCCTCACCGCTGCAGGACCCTCGGGTGACAACATGTCGCGAGCCCCGACTCAAGCCCTTTGCTCGCCACCGCAGGGGCAGAGTCCGCAGCGGCCCCGACGGCTGGCTCCGCGCCCCTCTCCTACCTGGGTCCGTCCGCCTCCACCGGCTCGTGCAGCGCGACGGCGGGCGGCAGGAGCTCAAGGACATCGTCCGAGCTCGGCGGCGGGGACGCGGCGCAGGCCACTCTCCGCCCACCTCGCGAGCCGCTTCGCCGGCGAGGAGTCCCGGGGCGTGGGGGGGCGGCCCGCGTGGGTGGCGCCTCCGTGAGGCCCGCCCGGCCCCCCGGGAGCCGGTGGCACCGCCCGGGAGAAGCCAGCCAGAGGAGCCGGAGCGCGTCTGCCCCCCCCCCCCACCCCGCCGGCTCCGCTCGCCCGCGCGCACTGCGCACGCGCAGCCGCCGAGGCGCGCCCGTCCGAGCTCGGAAGCCCCGGTGCTAGAAGGAGGGAGTGAGAGCGAGCGAGCGAGCGAGCCGGGAGCTAGCACGACAGCGCCGCCTCACACCTCGCAAGGCGCCGCCACCGCCGCCACGGCGGGCTCAGCACTCACTCGACACTGTGGCGGGAGTCTCGAGTTCGAGTCCAACCTGGTCCACACCGGGGCCTCCCACCCCTCAAGTTAGAAACAAAAAAAAAAAAAGCAAAGCAACAGAAACCCTTCCGCGATTTACCCGAGACCTTCCAGCTTCACCCATCCTCACCCACTACATACCTGGAGTCCCTTTACGCCCTCAGCCCCGCAGGATTCAGTTCTTGGCTGGAACAGAGCACCGCCAAGCTTCTCTCCTGCTCTGGAAACTTCGGGAGCTGCGAGCGATCCCCGGGGACGAGGCGTACACCTCCACGCACGCACGTGGAGGTGGAGCCGGGGGTGGGGGTGCGGGGTGGGGGCGCGGCAAAAAAAAAAAGGGCTCTCTGCGTTTGCGCAGTAGGAGGAGCTTGGGCAGGGGCTGATGGGAAGGCGCTCGCTAGTTCCCTTGAGCCCTCCCGTGGTTAAGTCTGAGGTTAGGGTGCACACAGTAGGCTTGCAGGGGACATTCGTGGGCAGACTGAGAGAAGGAATGCTATCTCAGGCTCCCCAGATCTTTTCAATAAGAGAGACGCGGTTCGCCCGGCGGTGGTGGCGCACGCCTTTTGATCTCAGCACTCGGGAGGCAGAGGCAGGTGGATCTCTGCAAGTTCGAGACCAGCCTGGTCTACAAGAGCGAGTTCCAGGACAGCCTCCAAAGCCACAGAGAAACCCTGTCTCGTCCCTCCCCACCCTCCAGAGAGGAGAGAGACAGAGAGAAAGGGAAATGGGGCTGCTGGCCTACAAAGGGGCTCGGCTTGCTGAATTTTGTGATAAAGGACTGGGAAGTTTTAGCAAGTCTTTATCTATTCAAAAGATTTATTTTTACGTGTGTGCTTATGTGTATGCCATGTGAGTGCAGATGCTCGCAGAGGCCAGAAGAGGGCTGCAGATCCCATGAACATGAAGCCACCAGTAGTTATCTTCAGCCTGACAGAGGTGCTGGGAGCCGAATTTGGGTCTTCCAGGGGAGACACTGGTATTTTTAGAGGACAATCAGGGTCACTTAGATTTAACTTCACAGTTGCAGGGCTGAGAGTTGCTGCACTATGCCCAGGCAGAGAACCCGAGAAAAGGGGCTCAAAAGATGTACTGCAGCGTCTTTCAACAATTATTTATTAGAAAACAAAATTGAAGTATATATTACCGATGGAATGAAGCCGGGCATGAGGTGGTGTCTTAACATTTTAGGCCTAGAGTGTGGTTTTGCCTTTAGCAGAATTCAAAGTTTCAGCTGTGTGGGAACATCTTAACTGTATAAAAAGGTAATGTTTGCATCTTTCACTCCAGTTCAGTTGAGTGAAGAGGCTTACCTTTCATCAGATCTTAACACCCTTCCAAACAAACTCTAAGAACTATTAGATTTGTAATCCTATAAATTTTCTATCTCTAAACATTATTTTAAACTCCAGTTTTACTCTGTATGATTTTATTGTTCCCATTAATAATCTATTTTGGCAATAAAATTTTCAAATTTACTTCTTATCTTCTTCATTTGGCTGTTATTCCTCATTCTAAATCTAAGGATTAGGGAACTCAACAGTAGTACTCTTAGAAATTTATAGCACATTTACCTGAATGAGAATTTCACAGCAATACTATTCACAACTATTTATTTATAATGGCCAAATACTGAAAGCAATTAAAATATCCATCAATAAAGACTATGACTTGGGGCTGGAGAGATGGCTCAGCGGTTAAGAGCACTGACTCTTTTTCCAGAGGTCCTGAGTTCAATTCCCAGCAACCACATGGTGGCTCACAACCACCTTGAATGAGATCTGGTGCCCTCTGCTGGCAGGCAGAAGACTGTATACACAATACATAAAATAAATAAAATATTAAAAAAAAGACTATGACTTGTTCATCCACTGAAATATTTGAGAGTAATATAAATAGAATATAGTTAGATGCAAAAACCATTCATGAATTTCAAAGTAATAGTGCCAGGAAGTCAGAAAGAATACATATTATGAATTTCCACTTAACAGGCAAACACTAAATTATGTTTTGGAATCTGTAATAAACATGACTAGAGTGTGATTTACATGGAAATGGGAGCGGTGGTTCCCTTTAATAGGAAGGTGGTTTTCATCAGTGTGTTGTAAGATTTTAAAGATTTATCTGTGCCTGTGTGTCATGCGAGTGCTTGTAGAGGCGAGGGCTTTGGATCCCTTGAGGATGGAGCTTGGGGGGTTTGTGAGCTGTCTGACATAGGTGCTGGGATCTGAACTTGGGTCCTCTCGGAGAGCAGCAAGCGCTCTTAAGTGGTGAGCCGTCTCTCCAGTCCTCTGCTGTGCAATTCTTAGATGCTAGCTACTTTCTCCTTTGTCTTTTTTTCTGTGATTCTAAACTTTCAAGAGTCAACATGTCTTACTCATTTTTTGGGGGGGAGGGGCCAGGGAAAACTAGATGTTATTGCAGAATAAACAGTTCAAGCTTTAGATTGCCTGCCATTCTCCTTAGTGTTATGAAATTTCATGCCGGCCCTAACCCATTCTGCCGGATACTTGAATTGTCTCTTTTGCCAGGACATCCTCACACATACGCTGCTTATGTGACACGGTCATGGGTTAATAGTCAAGCATCACCCAAAACGGATGATCCACAGCGGTCTTCCATTGAGCTCCAAGCCCGAGTCACATGTCTCGGGTCATCGTGTAGTCACTGTCTCGTCTCAGACCACAGTTTGAAGGGTGAGTACAAAGATCACATCCTTACAGTAAGATTGCAGGATACCACAGCATTCTACTCCTAGTTACTGGTTATTCCCACTGCCCCTAATTTGTGAATTAAACTTTACCACATAGGAAGAGACGCATTTAAGATGAGGCATTCATGGAAGTTTTCCTGTCCCGACAGCTTGCCCCGAAGTAACCGACACAGCGGCTTAATAGAAACTATAAATGCTCATCCGACTTCGCAAGCCTGTTACTAGCTAGCTCTTACACCTTAAGTTAACCCACATACCTTATTTACGCTCTGCCACGTGGTGGTAACAGCACCGCACGTCCGCCTCCGCCTTCCTCTGTGTCTGGCGGCGACTGCTCTGACTCCGCCCTTCCTTTCCCATCATCCTTAGTTTGGTCCCTGCACTTCCTGCTTGGCTTCCGGCCTATCAGTGTTTTATTAAACCAGTTCGAGTGACAGATCTCCACAGTGACCAAGAGAGGATTATTTCACAACACCCTGGCTCTCGGGACATGTTCTCCCATGTAAATATAAAGGACCAAGGCCAAGCGTCACAAGAGAACTGTTACAGAGAGCTATTTTGTGAACACGCTAAAGCTGTACCAGACTCCCCTTTTAAAATTCCTTTTTCCTTTTGAAATTCCGAAGCTGACAAAGTTAACTGCCACTTCTAAAGCTTATCTTCTCTCCCACTGTTTTCTTGGAATGACTATTCTTTAAGTGCTTTCTTGAATTGATAGGCTAGCTTATGTTCATTTTATTTTCATTTAATTTATTCAGATTTTAAAGACATTCTTCTTTCTCTGAGGCAATACATTATTTTCACCTCATGGTCTCTTATAAATGTTACTTTCATTGTTGTTATAATTATAATTATCACTTGAATTTATTGATTAGTTTCAAAACTTATTTTGGAAAATGTGTGTGTGTGTGTGTGTGTGTGTGTGTGTGTGTGTGGTGTGAGCATATATGTCTGTGTATGCTGCTCCTGTGCATATGGAGGCCAAAGGAGGACATGGAGCATCCTCCTCTATCACTTTCTGCCTTCTTTCCTTGGCATAAGGTCTCGTGCTGGGCAAGGCTGGCAGCCAGCAAGAGTACCAGCAATCTTCCTGTCTCTGTCCCTTTAGTGCTGGGATCACAGTGGCATGGACCATAGCCACAAGTGGTTTTTACATAAGGGCTGGGGGTTCAAATGTCTGCAGCAAGCTCTCTAGGCCTACACACTAGGCATCTACAGTCTGGAAAAGACGTTTTGATTTGCAATTGATTTAGAAGGATTTTTTTCTTGTTTTTTTTTTTTTTTTAAATCTTTCAGATACATTTTAGTGTGGTCAGAAAGTGTGGAATCTTCAGCTTTGCTTTGGGAAATGTATTAGGGTTAATTTACTTGTATTAGTATTTATTTATTTATTATTTTTCCTTTAACTGAAAATTATTTTTCCTCATACAGTGCATCCTGATTATGGTTTTCTCTCCACCTGCTCCTCTCAGTTCCTCCCCACCTCTGCTCATCTGAACCTACTCCCCTCTGTCTCTTATTACAAATAACACAGCCTCCTAATGGATAATTATAATACAATAGTATAAGATGAAGCGAAAACAAACACATTGGAATTGAACGAAACAAACACATTTCCATAGATTGGTGGATGTTGGGGTGGGCCAACCCATAGCCCTGGTTCTGGGCCTGGGTGGTGGCTGTGTTGCTCCGTTAGGCCTGGGTGATTACTGGGTTGGTTAGCTGGTTGGTCAGCTAGGCCTGGGTGGTAGCTGGTTGGTCAGCTAGGCCTGGGTGATTACTGGGTTGGTTAGCTGGTTGGTCAGCTAGGCCTGGGTGATTACTCGGTTGGTTAGCTGGTTGGTCAGCTAGGCCTGGGTGATTACTGAGTTGGTCAGCTTGCTAGCTTTCCCTTATCATCACTACCCAGATGAACTCTCCAGCACCACCTCTGCTAGCTCACCCAGTGCAGCCTACAGCAGGAAGCAGGGAACGTTCTCTTCAGATCTGGGTCCCCCTCACCCTTGTGGCCAGGGCCAGCTCTCTTGTTTTCCCCAGGCAAGGTG